ATCGGGAGGCTCAAACATGGTTCGGCTATGCCCCAGGAAAAGCACACAAGCAGGACCAGGCTAGGCTGCTCCGACTCAGGATCCTCACTGTCAATGTTCAGACACTCAACGATCCTACCGTTACCGGAGACGACAGCCGATCCTTTAAAGGCAGGGCGGGCTTCTTGAGGGAACAGCTCGATACCCTCCAAATCCACGTTACAGCTCTTCAAGAGACGAGGGTGACTGTCGACGACACAATCACCTCGCAGTCTCACATCCGTTTCTGCTCGGGCAGAGCCCCGAACGGATGCTTGGGAGTTGAGATTTGGTTTAGTCGCCTCCTCCCCTTTCTTGGCGATAAGGGTTCTAGGATGTTCTTCCAACCGGGGGACTTCATTGTCGTTTTCGCCGACCCGAGAACATTGATTGTGCGCTTTGCCCGGGGCGGGGTGAAGGTCCTCTTTGTTTGTGTCCATGGGCCTACCACCTGTGATCCACAACGTGACTCATGGTGGGCTCAGCTCCATGAACGCCTGCATCGGTTCAGTGAGGCGCATGAGGTTGTCCTCCTTGGGGACTACAATACCCACTTCTCCACTTCCATCCCCGGACGTGTTGGAACACTGGTTCTCCCCGGGTCAGGTTCGGTTCCTATCGGACTCCAGCGGATCCTTCAGTCACACGACATTTGGCTGCCTGCCACGTTTCCAGACATTCATCAGGGGCCTTCTCTTACCTGGGTCGCCCCCTCGGGCACATCGGGCTCCAGAATCGACTTCGTTGGCATCCCCTGTACATGGATTGCAGGCCCGCAGTCATCGTGCGTACAGACTGGCTTGGACTGGGGACAGGGACATACCGACCACTACGCGGCACAGGTCGAAGTGTCAGCTCTAATTCGAGCCTCAGCAAGTCGCTCCCATAGAGTCCGGATTGACAGGGAAGCCATGTCCACTCCGGAAGGCCAGATCACACTTTCCAAGATCTGGAAACAGGCACCTTCGGTGCCATGGACAGCCAATGTGCATCGACATTGGGCCGTCCTGGAGGCCTACCTCAATGGGGAGTTGGCTGCAGCCTTCCCCAACAAGCGGGGTCCATGCCGGTCCTCTCACTTCAGTGAACACACCTGGAACCTACGTCAGAGGAGGGTGTGGCTGCGGCGTCAGATTCTGCGTTGCCGCGAGGGTCTTGCTCCACCAGCTTTGCACGCACCATTTGTGGCATGGAGACGCAGATGTCGACTTTCCATAGCCGAATTTTCTGACACCCTCCTTGTCATGGGCCGACACCGACGGCTCTTGGGGTTTGCGGCCGAGTTGCGCCAAACCCGCAAACTACTCCGTCAAGCGGTCCGCCACGACGTCCAGCACCGCATCGCCACTGTTGCGGCGGAGGCTGAACACTGCGCCACCGCTGAAGCTGTTAGGCGTCTTAAGCCCATCCTCGGTCCTCCTAAGCGTAAGGCAAGGACACACAAGGGTCTCCCCCTAGTGCTCATGAGAGATGGTAACCCCGCCACAACCGCGGAGGAGGTTGAAGACACCTGGGTCCAGCACTTTGCGGGCATCGAGGATGGCCGCAAAGTCCAGCCAGTCCAGCTTGCTGCTTCTTGTATGGCTGTCCAGAATAGCCGAGGGATCGACCTGATCCCCATTACCAAGGAGGACTTGCCGAGCCGCATTGAGCTCGAAACTGCGCTCCGTGCAACCTCGACAGGGAGAGCTTCGGGTTTGGACGGCATCCCTGGTGAGGCCCTGCATTGTGCTGTCGCGGCGGCGTCTGAGGCCTTGTATCCGTTACTGCTCAAGACCAGCCTGCGACTAGCCGAACCAGTGCAATTCAAAGGGGGTAGCCTTGAAGCTGCCTGGAAAGGCAAAGGCTCGCCAGCGGTCTGTGCCTCACACAGAGGCATCCTCATATCGGCCGTGACCGGGAAAGCCTTTCATCGCCTTCTTAGAACCCGGAGCGTGGGGCCACTGTCATCCGTGACATCCCCGTTGCAACTTGGGGGACTGCCTTCCTGTCCAGTCACCGCTGTCTCTCACTCCGTCCGCCTCTTTGTCGCGGCCGCGAGGGCTCGCAAACGGTCGTTTGCAGTCTTGTTTCTGGATTTACAGGAAGCCTTTTATCGTGTGTGCCGTCCATTGTTGACAGGAGAAAGCCTGAGCGATGAGGCCATCGCACATGTTGCCACCACCATCCGGCTGCCGCACGGAGTTCTTCACGAACTCCACCTGCACCTCTCCGGAGGCTCTGTGTTTGAGGGGAGCGGAGCAAGCCCCTGGCTCTCCCAAGCAATGGGTGAGGTTTTGGAGGCCACATGGTTCCGCTTCAAGGCGGGGCCCTCCCTCGTCCAAACCGGTATCGGCAGTCGCCCCGGCGACAACTGTGCAGACGTTATCTTTTCCTTCCTCTTCTCCAGAGTGCTCCAGGAACTGTCCAAAGATATGACAGCTATGGGATGCACGACCCAATTGCCATACCAGGACTCCATGCATGACGCTATCTTCCAGACTCCAGTCAGTCCCTCCCAGTCGATTGATATTTTCGATGCGACTTGGATGGATGACCTTGCATTAATGATGTTGTCTGACTCAGCCGAGTCGGTTGTTACCAAAGCTGGGCAGGTTACAGGGGCACTCATTGATGCATGTCTGTCCAGGGCCCTGTTACCGAACCTTGCTCGGGGGAAAACCGAGCTCATCATCGTCCCTTGTGGAGCTGGTTCGAAAGGAGTACGCGCCAGCCTTTTCAGGGACAAAGAACCGTCCATTGCGATCCCCTCGAGACTTTGGACTGCTGCCAGAGTCCGGGTCGTTACTTCGTACCGGCATTTGGGGGGAATCATTCACTTCACTGGCGACCTGGCTAGGGAGGTTCGGTCTCGGGTTGCGCTTGCACATGGCGCGTTCCAGAAAAGGAAACGCCAGATCTTCGGATCTCCTGCTGTGCCCAAATCGGCCAAAGCCTCTCTTTACAACTCGCTCATCCTCTCAGTTCTGCTTCATGGGGCGGGAACATGGCCCAGCCCCAGTGAGTCAGCCCTTTCCTCCTTGGGCTCTGCTTATGAGCGGATGGCTTGTCACATGTGTAGGCCACACTGGGACTTTGATCAGGCTCTTCACGCAGGGCGGGATCAGGTTCTTGCATACCTTGGCCTCCCTTCCATCACAGTCCTCCTGCACATCCACCGCCTCAGGCATTTGCTGCTGTTCGTCCGTCTCAAGCTCGGCCAGCTCTGGGCTCTTGCCCACTGGGAGGGCGACTGGCTCGCATCTGTCCGATCTTCTTTAGATTGGCTCTGGCGGACTGTCCGACAATCCTCCGAGACCCGACCATGGGAAGCGATCTGGCCGGAATGGCTTCATCAACTTCACACCGCACCGGGTAAGTGGAAGAGCCTACTCAAACGCGCTCAGGCTAAGGCCATCCATATCGAGGCCTGGCAAGCTGCTCATCACAGGCACTGCGCTCTCGTCATCCACCAGCTCCAAAGACAAGGAGCTGTCCTGTTCGGCTCCGCCCTCGACCGACAGGACATGGTACATTGCTGCGCGCTGTGCCGCACCACTTTCTCCAACCGGCAAAAGTGGTCTGTGCATGCCTTCAAGTGCCACGGTCGGCGAATGGCCGGGCGCGGCATCTTGCCGGGACTCCAGTGTCAGGCGTGCCTTCGCACCTACTCCAGCAATGTCAGACTCTGCAGGCACCTTCGGTACTCCCAGCTCTGCCGTGCCAAACTCCTCTCCCTGGGACACGCCTGCGCCGCTGAACCAGGGGTAGGACATCGCAAGGATGATGACCGGACCGCTGGACTTTGCCCTGTGCTGCCGGGGAGCGGTCCACTTTGTCAATTTCCTCAGCTTCCCCCAGTTGATCAGGATATGTGCCCAGTTGCTGAAGTCTGGGACTGTCTCCGGCTGATAGACTTCGACGCCTGTGTTGAGGATCTGCCAGATGTTGAATTGTGGGAGCGCTTACGTCTGTCGTTCTCCTGTGTGTGTGCTCCGACGGACCGCTTGAGAATGACAGCACTGACTTGGCTTGAGCTCTTACATGCTGAGGGTGGCCATTCCCGGCTGATCGACTGTGCTGAGTGGATTTGCAATACCGACATAGTCGATTGGCTTGTCCCCACCCCAGCCGTTCGGCAGTCTTTGTTCCGAACCTATCGGGATTCTGTTCAAATCATCGGCCTTTTGGACACCTCTCCAGTCCAACCAGGACCTCCGACACAGCTAACGGCGGCTCATGTTGTGTTCTGGGTGCACTCTGGACTGACTTGTGCCCACTTGTCCTTGCGAGATTGCTGCTGTGTTGAATATTCCCACGATGAATGCTTGGCCGAATTTGCCACCGGGATTCAGCCCGCCTTCTTTGAGGGCCCCTTTGACGAGGCCGCGTTTGTCATCGACCTGAAGGGGGTCCATCTCCTTCAGGATCCACCTTGCCTGGACTTTGGCCTTTCGGCAAGCCAGGTTGAGCTCGACAGAGCTACACTTGGAGCCGACCTTCTTCGCCTCTTCTTGAGACTCCTGTTTCTTGGGGTGCCAGTTGTCCTACTTGTGCCGCCGGCGGCTGATCTTTGCCTCCAGACCGTCTCGACGCTTCCGGGGATCCAGATGCACCACCAAGGAGGGCTCAAGGTACTCTCCACTAGCAGCGATCTCTTCAGTCTTCTTTGTTTCACCTCATCTTAATTAGTGCAAGCCAATGGGCTGCATCCTAACAGGAGCATGTGCCCCAAAAGCGAGAAAAAGCGAGAATATATGTATATATATATATATAAAACATGCTGTACATGTGCATGCCGAAGCCCTTGTGAATAAGAGCCATGGTTCATGATCATATGAATCACACCACACCGATGGTAGTCTTGACCAAATCATATCCGTGGTAAGAATATAGGCTCGACGGGTTGCGGCTCAGCCTCTGGTCCTTGTCCTCTCCGGCCTATCGTCTTCTGATCCGAGTTTAGCCTCAAATAATGGAGCAGTGCTGCTTGGAGTTGGCAGGAGTGCATGAGCTTGGGCAACTGGCCTGTGACGCCTCTGACTCAGGCGCCCTGCTTTGAAGGGCTGTGATCAAGATAACGATAGAGCTTCGAGTGGTTGAACGCAAAAGTCTACATCTTGGATGCTGATGTTTGCATAAGTTTTGCCCGGGTCTGCACATGTGTCGTGCCGTATCATGGCCTCGACGGTCCGTGCACGCAATCGGGCCCTTCCTAGCCTAGCGACATCACAGAAGCGGGCAGATCAAGATTCGCGTCTTTCTTTCAACTATCATGTGGTGTCGGGAAGGGCCGTATAATGCAGTGTAGAACTTCCATCACGGACGATTCTTGCAAGCCACACTGGGAGCGCCGTGCAGGATTGCGACCTGAGGTGTATCGAGGCCTGTGGTGTGGTTTCAAGACTTGACTTGTTACTGGGCTGCTTGAGATTGGTGAGCCCCGCCCTTGAAATTCAATGGTGCTATTACGGCACCAAAACCTGAGATGTCGACTTCTGATGAGCCTGGGTAGACGGGTTGGCTCATGCGCGTCAATCCTCTCATCAGGTTTGAAACGAGAGCAATGCCTTCATTTCGAAGACTGGAGAGCTACCGTTCTATCCGTTTATCGAAGGCTGACCAGTTCAGACCCCTCTGGCAGGAGATCCCGATTGCATCGGCAAGCTTGGCACAGGCCAGGATTCCCAGTGTGGGTTCGGGGCCTCGTTGCCGAGAGCCCTGCCCACGGAGGCAAACAACCAACCTTGTTCGGATGATGATCTCGCAAGAGCGCGGTGGGTTCAGATGTAGACGACTATCAGGTTGCACCTCTATCCAATGTGTGTGTGTGTGTGTGTGTGTGTGTTTCCATAGTACGGCAACCTAAACCGTGGCTTAGGTGCTTCTTGCGGAGAAAGCAGCGCCTTTCTCGCGCCACAGCCGAAACATGTTCTCAATTCCAGTACTCGCAGAAAACCTCGTATGCTCAGCCACCAAGTTTCCCTTCAACCCTAAACCCCCAAATTTGGGCCTGCCCATTTCATTCCCCCAAGGTGCACCGAGCTGAGCTCAAAGATGGCACCAGGGTTGCGGTGAAAATCCAGTGACCCGAAGGAGCTACGGAATTTAGGGTTTAGGACCACCATCACCATCACCATCCCCATCCCCATCATTTTCATCATCTTCTTCGTTATTGTCATCAGCATCGGCATCAGCCTCAGCGTGGTCTTGCTCATGATGATGGTGATGATGACGGTCATGGACATGATTGTCATGGTGAGGATCCACCATCACAGCCATCTCCATAACCATCTCTTCGTGATCGTCGAATGGACGCTTTGGGTCGCCTGATTTTGGGGACCTCAAGAAAGGCTGGGTCCAAAATGCATCCCTGGCGGAGGTACCCTGAGCTTCGGAAGGAAATGGCCTCCGACTTTGCAGTTTTCAAGACCATGGGCACGCAGGCTGAGTGGCAAAATCTGCATGTGTCAGACAGTGTCATAGTGTGTTACATCGACTTGGGCTTCACCAAGTGGAGGTGGCAACGGGATGGCGTACGCTTGTTGAGAGCGCTTTGTTATATACTCTTCAGCCTTCCCTGCCACAGATCAAGCAGATGGCTGCCGGATACGACCTCATGTGGGTGGCCGGAATCTCGGAAGTTGCCTGATTTTGGACAAGCTTTCCCAAGCTTGACGGGAAGGTCAGAATGTCTCATCTCCCTGATCCTATCTGGTTCTTCGGATGCTCTTCTCTCACATGCTTGGTGGCTCCTTTCATCCCCATGAGGATCTCTTCTTTCTCATTGTGGATGGTTCTTGTTTCCTGGGGTCCTGACCTCGACAGCCTCCACATGCAGGGCCCAATGTAGGCCTTTGTTACAGGACGAGGCTTTGGGGCTCCTCGGTCCTTTCATTCAAGGTCTCTCTGTCAGAAGAACTGGAAATGTCGCCCTTCTTTATTGGTGCGGACGTTCTCTCGACGGACACTCTGTGTCGGGATTGCTCGAACGCGAATCTTGCCCAGGTGGAGGATTTCGAAAAGGCGGGCCGGTTGTTCGAATGCCTGACGGCCTGCCACGAGCATGTGGTTTTCTGTATCTCGGGTGCCAGATGCAGTGTACTCACAGGGACAATGGTGTTGCTGATCTGCTCGATCTTTCATCATCACAAAGTCCTTCGCTTTCAGTCACTGAAATTGGACTTGGTCTCCAACTATCGGTACAAAGACCCCAGACTTCCCGAACATCTGTTGAGCCTACGTATACTGCTTCCATCACGTTCCCCTGCCTATCGGTATGTGCAGAACCTTTCGCGGGAGCTGGACTTTACCTTGGAGGCTGCCAGCGGCGAGGATCCGGGAAGCTTTCGTTTAGCTTGCATTTGTTATTTTCGCAAGCCTTTGCCACATAGTCGTGGTCAACTTGCAAGGTCTTTAATGGGATTGCCATGATGATGCCATGATGCAGTAGCCCGACGAGGTTGATGTCAGCGGAGTGCCTAGGTCGACATTATGCGTCGCAGTGGCTTTCCTGGCAACCATCACAGAAGCTCAAAATGTCTCTTTCTAGTCCAGGGATAGGCACCTCGAGCCATCACGTCAGGTAGACGACGGCGAAACCTGACATGGCCTTGTGGCGCTCCGAATCATGATTGATAGCCGAGTAGTCCTGCGAAACGACTGCTCCTCTCCCGTTGAGCTTGCGAGGAGACAGCGCGGCAGCTTGCCCACCGGTACCCGAGAGTCTACGTGCCCAAGGCGGGCTTGCACTTGTCTGCTGGTGAAAATACAGGTAACGGGGCGACGATTGCGCTTATCCGCCTTACTCGAGAAGCGGGAAGACTGATTGGAAAGAAAGATGGTCTGAACCATAGAGTGAGAGCAACACTGCGAGAAGCCAGCGGCCCAAGCCGGCACAGGCAGCGATGAATTGATGCATGCTGAATGATGACAGACGAATGACGGATGATGAATGGTGGATGATGGTTGGTGGATAAAGAATGATGAATGATGCATGGTGCATGGTGCGTGGTAAACGATACATCATGAACGGTACATGATGAATGATGAATGTTGAGTGGTGGTGATGATGGCGATGGTGGTCATGATGACATGATGATGATGGCGACTATATATGACGACGATGCTTGGGGAATGACATCTGCGATGGGCACAAACGGTGCGACGACCATGAACAAATTCTGGAGCTCACATCGTTACGGCGACTGTTCTAATCCTGTGAGCTTCGGATGCCAAGCCGAAGGTCTTCAAAGAGTTCTCTTCGTCGCGGATCATAGTCATGGAGTATCTCGAAGGCGGGCCAGCCACATCAAATTTGAAGAAGAGTCAGCAGCGGGCTGCATTTTCCCAAGTAAGATCGAAAGCCCGAGTTGCAATCAGCGGCTTGGCGCTCGCTCCCCAACAAAGTTCAGCTATTTTGTGGGCCAGGCTTGCTGAAGGCCAACGATCCGGAAGGCCAGAGGATGTGGATTCGGAGTTGGTCCAAAGTTCCTGCAACCTGCTTGACGATCCTGAGCCGTGGAAAGCCAGAAAAGGACGTAGCCTGCGAGTTCCCGTGTTCTTCCTTCATGCCGGGTCCTGCCTTTCTCGCGGGTTTGGGAGGCCTGCGGCGTGCAGGTCTGGATGTCGATGAGCCGGGGCCTGGGGTGTTGCATTTCAAACTTGGAGTCATGCATCGTCAGGCCTGCAGGGCAAGTGGTCGCCAGCATCTTGGTCATTCCTCCATGTTCGGGGATTGGGCAAAGGTGTGCCCAGCTCATTTGCGACACCTTCGCAGAGATGATCTTCGTGCACGGACGCGTGCTCCTTGCATCCCGAGCCCTGGCCGGGCTGACTACTTACTCTTGTTGCATCGCGTGATTGCATGCATCCGATGCCTCCTGCATCCTGTGGCCAGAAGGTAGTGTATGTGATTAGTATCATCGGCCGCAAGTTTGTTGTGCACTCGTTTCTGTATCCTTTGGCGTGGCATCGTTTCAAGTACATACCGCATTGCATGTATGTCCCTTTAAATCTAAATATACCACATGTGGCCGATGATGCAATAGTCTACACTGTCCTCAATCGGTACACGCCAACCAGGTTCAACAAGCACCACTTTCGTTGTGACGCCTACTTCCTGCAATTGGACACCGGTGACGTGACACTCACAAGTTCTTCCCCTCATGTATGATTGTCGCACTCACGAGACTAATGTCTTTGTACTTGCGTTGTGCTACCTCGTGCGACGACGACGCTGCTGTTACCTGCGGTTCCGGGTTGAGTGGAAGGTACACGCAGATCCCCATGCCGGGAACATTTACTTCCGGGCAATCGAGACAGGCTGGAGCTCCTCGGGCTTGCTTGGAGCCTCTCACTCACTGCTGGGGAGATGTCATCAGCAACCTCGTTTATTGAGAAACAGCCGACTGGCTCAAGAGAGAAGGGAGACCTGCAAGGCCCTCGCAAATCTGTCCAGGACGGCACACGATTTCTAAGAAGATCGAACCCCAACCGGAAGTCCGACAAGCCTTGGAAGCCTTCCGACATCCCCTTGCTAAAAGAGCCCTGAAAGCCCCATCAAGGCTTCAACAAGAAGGGTTTCGGGGTTTAGGCTTCTCCCCAAGGCATCTGAGACCCTAAGCCCGAAATACAGCACCAAAGCCAGTGCAAAGCCATGGCAACGCGGCTGCGCCACAGCTGGCCGCTGTGGCTGCTCCTGGGACTCGGGCTTTGGCAGCTCGGCACCTTTCAGGTCTCTGTTCGACTGACGCGGGCCGGTTTAGCTTTGAGCTGCCACTGTCCCAGTTCCCGATTCTGTTCTTCCGCGACTCCTTGTTGTCCTGGTCCTCATGTCGGAAGGCCCTTGTCCGAAATGCCGAGGATCCCACAACTTGGCTTCGTGCCGAGAGCCTGGCGCGCGGCTGGGCCTCCGGCAAGGCGCGCTGTCCAGCGCATCTCAGGGCATGGATATGGGATACCTACCTCACAACCCTACACTTCCGAAAATATGAACGAGTGTGGCTCGGTGCTCGTCGGGGGTTTCCAGAGTCTCCCGGAGGCGCGTGGCGCGGCCGGCGAACCTGGAAGATGCCATCGCCGAGGCAAAGGCGGCAGAGGAGGCTGATGCGACTCGGCACAAAGTCGGTTTTGAAGGGCTACTGTAAAGGCTCCGGTATTTATCCGCCGCCTCACATGTGATGTAAAGCGGCGTCACATATGAAGATGCCGTCAGAAGGAGAACAGTTTATTTTTCAGAAGACCCGAAGGGGCAAGCAGCAAGTTTGCACTCACCCGACAAGCACTGGAAGCCGCGATATGCCTCAGAGCCGAAAGCACAGCACCCAAAATCTGAAAACTCGAACGGCTAAATCCAAGCCCCACATCCCAATACCCTAAACTCCGAAACCTTACTGTACGGCCCCAAAACCTCATCAGGCCAAGCAGTGGCCGCCGAAGGACTGGCTGCGGATTTCCACCACAGTGGCCTCAGAGGAGGCGGGGCCGCTTCTAGGATCCTAGGGCACATGCTTTCAGGTTTAGGGCTCAGAGGGTTCCGGATTTAGGGTTGAAGGGTTTTTTGGAGGTTACAGGATTCAAGGCCTAGGGCCTAGGGATGCGATGCACTATGACTATGATGCACTTCAGGGGGGCCTGAATGATTCGGGCCCCCTTTGTTGAATTTTGTAAGACAGGATCTCCAGAAAGGCTATATAGTCCAATTGCTGGGGGTCCTAATCTCACTGACCAGTTCGCTAGCCTTCCCAGCTCTTCTTGCAGCCAGGGCAAGCAGAAAGTGGTGCGTGCGAGTCTCAGTTGGTTTGATAGTCAAAGCTCTCGAGATTTTGGAGCAGAATGATAGTCACATTAGTTTGCAATGATGATATGAAGAACGATACCAATTGTCGCCATAATCATCGGTATGACACTAGTATGAACCCTCCGAAGCATCAGCAGTTTCCAGCCAAGCACGTCCTGACCCGAATAGTCACAACAGCAAGCATGCTAACGGTAGTCATCGTATACGTATAGAACTGACCAGAGATGTCTGGAAAACATCTCCGGCAATGTGACACAGAAATGCAAATCTATCAGGCTGCTCGTGCGTGTCATTCTCGTGTGCTACTCGTAGCACTGCCGGTATTCGGCATCCTTCTAATTGAACTGAAGTGACACCCAAAACTACAAACTTCCAAGCCGACGGCCCATGAACAGCTTTGCTTCTGCCGGAGTTCAGGTGCGATTCTGGCAATCTCGGAAGGCCTGCGGTTGGAGGACTCTTCTCCTGAATTTGTCAGGGTGGTTTGATAAGTGGAGAAGTATATCAGTATAGCATTTTATACCTCAACCCACAAACCTTTATCCCGAAACGCTCATACGTAACTCCAAATTTTAGATGCCTGTGAGCTTAAATTGTTTCATGGTCATTGTGCCCGCTGACATGACGCGTACACATTAAGAGACGTGCACCTTCAGCAACCCTGAACCCACAACCCTGAACCCTGAACCCCAAACCGTATCACGAAGCGATGAGCAGGAGTTCCGAGTGCGATGGCTGCGCCGCAGCTCTGGCGAAGACGCCTCGCGATTGGCACTCTGGGTTCCACCCAGGTGGCAGATAAAAACCCAGCTTGGGTGGGCAAGGGACATAATATTGGATGGTTGCCCAGAATCCAGAAGTCCTGCACGGTAGGACGGTAGGACTAGACTGTACTAGTAATTGGTGTTGTTTTGCCACTTTGCGTTTGTTCGGTCCCACAGTTCTGAGCGTGTGGTGTGGCGAGTGTTAAGGCGTAAAGTTGGCGACCTGCCAAGCTTCAACGGTATGGTCGAACCATTAAAGATCGGCCACTCAGTCCTCAGGGGCATTGGGTGAATCAAGCTCAGGACACGACAGTACCTCATACATGCATGCATACATGCATATATACATACATACACGTACACTTACACTTACAGTTACACGTACACGTACACTTACACGTACACTTACACGTACACATACACGTACACACGCACACAGACATCAATCCATCCGTCCGTCCGTCCGTCCATCCACCCACGCACCCACGCACGGACCCACCCAGCCAGCCAGCCAGCCAGCCAGCCGTCCATCCATCCCTCCATCCCTTCATCCCTCCATTCCTCCATCCCTCCATCCCTCCATCTCCCCATCCATCCATCCGTTGTGCGTGCGTGCATGCGTGCATGCGTGCATGAATCCGTGCATGCGTGAATGCGTGCATGCATGCATGCATGTCTGCGTTCGATATAGCCTGCTTGCCTGCTTGCCTGGCTGCCCCCTTCCTACGTGCCTGCCTGCTTGCGTTCGTGCAAGAAATACCTACGTACGTACAGGCATGCATGCATGTACACATTTACATTTACATATACATATATACATATATATATATATATACGAAACACATACTGTATTTCTTTTCATTTGCAAGACCAGACATTCCGCTGTTTAGAAGAATGGGCCTGCATGCTGCTGCTTCTGAATGTGAAAGCTCTGACTGAGTCCGGCTTGGGAGGTCTCTGGTGCTTGTGTCCTCAATGATGGGAGAAGCTTTGGTCGAGGAGATACCGATGGCCACGGTCCTGGTGTTGTGTTCAGTTGTGGTGGTTTGGGCTTGTAGAGACACGGCAGGCAATGACTGGCAAAACTGCTGTTGGCACTCTTTTGCTGCAGCTGCAGTTGCAGTTGTTGCTGCGCATGTTCTGAGATCTTGGTGGAGGGCCTCGATGTTGATGGCGATGCGGAGCCTGAACCCTAGCTCTCAAAATTATGTTGCAGTCAGCTTTCTGTCGAAGTGCTGCGTGCTGTACTTCTGTATCATAGTGGATGATGCAGACTTGGATGATACGCTGCATCCTGGCCTATCCAGTACATCATTCTGCAGGCTTGGAATACTGAAGACCTTGGTCCATCTTCGCTCCGTATCTTGCCGGCTTTCCCCTTGTTTCAAGCAAACCGAGCTGGCAGCATTGTAGTTTTTGCATACACGCATACGTATACGTATACATTTACACGTACACATACACTGAAGCATACATACATACGTACATAAAGGCATGCATGCATACGCATCTGCGTAGACGTAGACGTAGACGTACATGTAAACGTACACATGAACATACACATACACATAAGCAACACACATAAGCATGCACATGTACGTACAAACATGCATACACACAAGCATGTGCATATGCATATGCATAATAAGCATGCACATGCACATGCCCATTCACATGCCATGCACGTACGTAAATAGATACGTTACATACTTACATATACACATACGTACATACATACATACATATTTATAGCGCAGGGCTGCTGCCCCCTCTGCCCCCCATGGAATACATACATGCATGTGCATGCATGCATACAGGCATGCATACATACGTATATGCATTCAGCATGCTTACATGACTTACACATGCACACGTACATGCATTCCTTCGTCCGAACATATGTATTTGTTACATGTACGTACCCAACCCTGGACCTGGGCCGCTGGGCCGGTCTTCGGCTGCAGGTTCTTCCGCGGTGCGCTGTCAGGGGCGACTGTCGAGGAATCCGGGAGTTGGCATCGATGTGAAGCTTTGGGGGCTCAGGGCTTCAGAGTTTTTGGTTGAGATGCCGGGGGGGCGCTCTGCTCCTGGGTATCCAGCAAGGTCCAGATCGTGACAATCTCCAGGACTGGCTAGAGAGTTGGACACACTCCAGGAGCTCACCCGCGTGGCAGAGGATCTGCTGGCCGCGCAGCTCTGTGCTGCTGTGGAGGTGGAAGAGGTGGGTGTGGTCATTCGGGACGAAGTGCATAGGTTGTTGCAGCGTTTGTCCATGTCGTGGGTAGAGGTGAGGTGCAGGAGAACGGGGCAAGCTGAGTCTTGCGAGGATTCAGCCTCAGCGGTGCTCCACACGACGGCCGCCGGTCGTAGTGGTGTGGAGGCCGTCAAAGTCAAGGGCCTGTTTGGGATTCCGAGTTTTGGGTTTGCTAAGGATGTTCCTTCTTTTGAGTGGTCTGAGACTCTAGCATGCCGTCGGACTTGTTTCAGAGTTTTCAATGCAGTGTGCAGGCTGTCTGTCTGTCTCTCTCTCTCTCTGTGCCGGGTGGGGGCTCAGCCGAGACCGAGACTCTTGAACTGCCGCACGGTAGTACATCAACCCTCAGGTTTGCAAAACATTGCAAAACCATCGCCAAGTCAGAGATGCACTCGTTGTGGCTATCTGCACAGCTTGCCAGGCTTGGCTGAAAGAGAACGGCAGCGACCTCTCCATTGACTGGACCGCCTGAAGAACTGTGGTGCTGGAGAACATTGAATTTGCATCCCGAAGAGAGCCATTGTGAACACAATCATACTTATCATAATCGTTGTAGTTGCTGTTGTTGATGCATCTTGCCGATGCTCCGTATCAGCAGCCTTAGACAAGTTTTCCTCCCTCGTCTGCTACTATGATTGATTATCAGGACCCCACTGGGCGGCAACTCTGAGTATCTCTCCTGGGTTACCGGGCAGCATCGTGTGCAGGTCTTTGCAAACTCGTTCCTCTCCTTGCTGCTATTTTACAGCATGTTTCATTAATGAGGAAGGGGCAGGACACAAAAAGTCGCACACGGTCAGTTAACGCAGCGATACTAATAATAATACTGAATAGTTTTAACATTGGTATTTGTAGTTTTGTTGTCATTCTCACTCTTCTTCTTTGCTTGGGCTTTGTTCGCTTCAGCCCACGCCGTCCTTTGGTAACGTCGGTCTTTTCAGTGTCTCGAGCATTTGCAAGCTTAAAGCCAAGATCCAGCACCCGAAGCCTCAACGCCACAAATCCTGAAGCTTCAGCACATGGCTGTTTGGATGGAGCAGCAGCAGCTCAGGTGGCTGCAGAAACTACCGCGGACACCTGACCGGCAAGGCCATAGTTTGAACCTTACGCCTCATAGTGCTATAGTAGCCAGAAGCTGCCGATTGAAGTTATTTGAAGATAGCTTCAGAGTTTCCTGCAAGTTTAGGGTTTCCAGCTGAAAACTCATGGCGGGGCATTGCAGATGTGAACAGAAGCCCTTAAGCCTACAGATGAAGAGCCAGACGCTTCGTCTTCTGTGGGGAAGGACTTGTTCCCGAAGTGGCCTCATTTGTGCGCCTCTGGGTCAGTCTGTCTGTGTGTGTTTGTGTGTGTGCGAAGGCTTTGTGCCACTACGCCGACCGTGAATCCGCCGATGTCCTGGACCAGTGCGTGCGGCATGTGGGGCTCTGCTGCCCCAAGTCTGCGCGTCGCAACGTGCAGCCTCCAGTGGACTTGTCGCAGGTCTCGGACATCGCTTGCCGAAGAGAAAAGTGCGCACACCTGCACCTGAGTCACAGGATAGTAGAGCGACACCATAGTGATAAGCAGACGACGACGATGATTCTTCGCAAGCCTAGGCCTCTGAGCGCGGTCAGATCGTCTGCACGCGAGCCTGCACTGGCTTGAAGTTCAGGGCTGTGCCGGATATCGCGCGGAATGCAGGCTCGAAGAAGTCTAAACCGTCCCTTCATGCCAAAATGCTCCGGCGCGGTCGTCTAAAGAAGTTCTTCTGGAAGGAAGACCATTCTTTCGGATACATCCAGTGCGCCGAGGAGGAAGATGATATCTACTTCTACGCCGTCGAGCTGGTAAATGACATTGGGTTGGTGGGCTCGTGGAACAAGAAGTTTGAACAACTGCATGATCTGGTGGGTGCTCATGCTTTCGTCGAGGTCTCTGTTGTGCAAACTTCCCGAGGCGTCAAGGCTGTCCGTCCCATGCGCCTCTTGCCCGATGAGTTTGAAGGCAAGGAAGAGCTTGTGGCCCAGTTGGATGAGCAGCTGCTGGCAAGATCGCAGGCTCATCTCGGTGCCCGACGGGCAGAAGCTGATGAGGAGGAAGGAGAGGAGGAGGAGCAGGAGGAATGTGAGGAGGAAGAAGGCTTCGATGCTTGGGACCCTGAAATCCATGATTGGCCGACTCCCGAGGGAGCCTATGTCCGCGAATTGCAAAACGAGATCTCGCGCCTTCTTCGAGAGAGAGCCAGCATGAAGAAGCCGGCCCGTGATGTATCGCTGACCAATGTGCAAGCCTTCGTGAGGTGGCTGAGTTGGCAGGATTGGGACCCGAGTCGTGCTTGGAAGGGTTTGAGTTCCGGCACATGGCCGGAAAAGGCCAAAGACCATTTCGGGGAAACACGCCAGGTCTTCCTTGGCAAAGCCAAAGCGTTCGTGCAGGGAACCCCAGATGTGGTGGCGTGGAACAACAGCGGATCAAGCTATGTGTATCCCAAATCTGTCTGGAACTTCCTGCAAAAGCATTCGTCGTACGACGTCGAGGGGTGGCACAGGACATGAACAAGGGCATTCTGACAAAGGACTTCTTCTGCGATTGGTGCAAGAAGCCGCGGATTGTTGGAAAGGACTACTACGAGGATCAGTTGTGGTACTGCAAGTCGTGCTTTTTGTCTTGGCGTGGCATTGGCCCTCGAGGTATGTCTGACAGAGGCCGCTTGAACAAGTCCAAGAAAGGCAAGGGAGGACAGGCCAAAAAGAAAGGCAAGAAGGCCAAGGCCCGATAGGGCCTTGCTTTGGTGATATGAGACTTGAGCCAAAGTGCCAATGATGGCTCCGGAGAAAATTCTGCGAAGTCGATCAGTTCCTGCAAGCTCCCCGATGCCCCCTTGTTAGCCAATCGAACTCCCAAGCACTGCCCTGATTGCCGGCGGGAGGTGGCGAGCTGCACCCGCAGCTCGTTCTGCTGGATCATGGCCTTTACTACGACCTGAGGCTGGCACGGGCTTGCCTGTCGCAACCTTTAGCTTCGATTCTTAGGTTGCTGGTGTAGTGGGGATGATTGAAGTGCTACTCAGTCCTCTTGCTATCATGTTAGGATTATGGTGTTGTGATTGCATTGGGACTTATGACGTTTCTGTTTCTCGGCATAAAGAACACGAAGATGGCAGCTTCGGTCACGATCCGAATTCTTGACAGTGAAACGAATGTTGAGTTCATGTGCTGCTTGCAACCATGCCTATTTCCAAAATGTAGACATTTGCCCTGATTCTTCTAGTGCTGCTTGCTAGCTCCTTGCACACCGAAAGAGAGCCCGTGCCGTGGTCGTTTCTGCCTGGAAGTCCGAAACCCTTCCTGCTGCGCAGTGAGAACGACGTGCGCCTGAACTTCTGCCGCTACTGGCGGGCGTGTTGCACGAAGGACTCCAATTCCTTCCTCGGAGGCCAAGTCCACGTATGGGCGTCGTTGGGGAGTAGAGCTTGGCCGATGTGTAGAAGAATGCGTAACGGTGCCCACACTCTTACGTTCCAATACTTCTGGTAAGGCAAGTAAGTACAGGAACACAATCCTCGCCACCATCAGCATCAGAATCACCATCACCAACACCAACTACAGCGAAGTCATTGTCGCAATCACGGCTGGCAGCTGCATGAAGTCGGTGATCAACCTGCTTTTATGGCTTAACCAACACGACAACCGCAAACCGGAACCGGTCAGCTGTAAGACCGAAAGCTGATAGTTGCTGATCGGATGTAAGGGCCTGTTCCCTGGGCTTTGCAGTGAGTTCGAAGCGCAGACGTGTACCAACATCAACCCTCGATATCGGGTCTGTTGCATATGAGTCGCCGAGATGTGGGCCTGGTTAAGTTTTCTGTGACCGTGCACGAGACGTAATTGCGTCGAGTCAAATTGGATGGATCACGATTGTCATAGATGCCTATTCCTATTCGGCACCTGGCACTGTGCCTGGCAGATAGGTGTTGCCACAGTTCGGAGAGGGCAGGGAGCGAATGGGGAGAGCGAGATACACATGGGAGCGATTAGACTAGCTCTTGGGATAGTTTTGAAAGACGGTCCTTCCCCAAACTCTGTCACTCGCTGATGATGCGCGTGCCGTTGCCGTCTCAAGCACGACACACCTGCCCTTGTGAAGCGGGGCCGAACATTTGAGAAAGGGTCTAGGGACGCCGGTTCGGAGAACCCCTTGTTCCTGCTCTTTGGTGCCATGGGTGACGACATTGGGCCGGGAACTCAGCTTCGACGAGCCGCCCAGCCGTCACGCGTTCTTTCGGCTTCGGGCACAAGGACGGGGTTTCCCAATTGGTATAAAGGAGATCTGGCAAGACATAGTTGCAGGTTGAAATGGAGACGACGTAAGCGATTTCACACGTGTTTATCAAGCTTGCTGTTAAGAAGTTGATGGTAGTTGTCGTAGCTGGAACCAAGGAATTAAAGAGCAGTAGCCGCAATTGATCGTCAGTAGATCTACAGCAGAAGTATATGTCGAGACGTCGAAGTACACTGATGTAGTCTACCCGAAACCCTACACTTATCCGAGGCATGAGTGCGGATTCGCCATGCTTCGACTGCTGAAGCCACCAGAGTGTGGGCCCAAAGAGGAGATGCCTGTTCCGTCGCAGGGGTTGTGTTCAGGGTTTGTTTAAACTTTAGGGTTTCGCAAGATTCTTTTGCAACTCTCATATTATTAATCGTATCAGTGCTGCTGCTGCTGCTGCCGCTGCTGACGGTGATGGTGAAAAGCTAGGGCCAGGGTCGTTCAGGCTGAGGTTGCTTGGGAGAATGTTGGAGATAAGGGTGATCTATGTGTAGCCCAAGATTAGCTTCAGGTGCATTTTTCTACTTAGAGTCTCAGCGACTTGGGCCGCCGACTCCGATTCGTGCAGACTTCACGTCCTGCAGGTATTATCTTGAGAAGTATGGCACGCACTTTTTTGGCGCAGAGCTCAGAATTCAGCTTTTTGAATCTGGCGGCATTGGGCCTTGGGTATTCACTTTCCAGCCCGAAGGTGTGGCGGAAAGCGCCCCGGATTCTGAATGAACGTATCCCCAGAACATGCCTCATCAGCGCCTTGCTATGCCGTCTTGTAGAAGCACGTAGCAGCTTGAAGGGTGCTCGCCCCGGGAAAGGCCAGAGCAAGGGAGTGTGGAGGCGCACAATGCAGCAGCCCGAAAGTCTCAGTCCAGGCCATTCATGAGGAGAAACCTTCAAGTGAGACCTAGCAAGGAGCTGACAAGTGGAGCTGTGGACGTGCGGTTCTTTCCGTTAGGGAAAAGAGCGGAACGAGCGGACTATCATCGCGCATCGTGCGTTGACAACATAGGCGCGAGGAAGTATTGCAGTTGGAAGCTGAACTTGTGAAGCCCCACAAAACACGCAGAACGCAACAATTATCGGTCCGATTGTAATGTGCTATGTTGCTTTGTCCTAGTGGTTGTGGCTGCCTCTCAAAGGAAGTATCATGGTTCTTGCATGTTGACTAGTGTCATATCGTGCACTCGCCTGTCTGTCCTATGTATGCATGCGCACAAGTATATCTGCATGTGTTCCTGCCTTGTCGAGGCCTCAACCGCATGCACCTGCTCATGGAGAAGCAGCGAAATCGTGGTTTGCTGCAGACTTCCTTCGGGCTTACTTCGGGTTTCACTGGGTCTGAGCTTCAGGTGTCCTTGCCTACAAGAGTTTCTGACCTTTATGGGCCGCCCCGAGGTCTCAAGCCAAGACCCCACATCCTTACCCCGAATCCCAGATATAACGCGCGTGTCATAGCTCACCTGTCGTAGGCAAGGTCGGAGAGTTGATAAATCCAAAGCCTACAGGCTAGGCTTGAAACTCGCCAAAAATCTGCAAGTGTCTCGTCAGCTTGGACAGTAACTACTCAGCTGCCTGCTTGCAGTGGCATCTTGGCCGAGGTGGCCAGGATGGAGCTGGCGTCGCAAACGTCAAGTTGGACATGCCTCCAGGGACCAGGCGCACATGCTTGGCTTCACTTCGCTGATCAGCTATCGGCACTCTTCCGGACTTCCACGCCTCCTTGTTGCAGAATCCGTCAAGCCGAAGCCTTGCGACACTCAAGTCAATCACGCGTACGTCGAGCTTCCTGTTTGCAAGGCGCATCCCGTTCGGCCCCTGCGCAGCAGGTACATCCACTGCGAGAAGTCCATCGCTGCGGACCCCATTGGAGACCTCTTCGGGCGCGTGGAGAAGCAGGCGCTCGGCTCGGGTTTCTGCTTGGGGGTGTGGCAGCGGCAGCAGCAAGAACAACAACAGGAAGAGCATTTGATTTCAACGCTATAATGCCGCTGCTACAGTAGTACCTTCCCACGACGACGACCCCCCAGCACTGTCCTTCTTCCTAATTTAAGGTACTGCCAAGTATCATGAATGACACGGCCAGGCCACAGCAATGCTGCAGAAAGCCCCGACTGATGCGCTTGGACCTCGGGCGGGGTGAAAGGGGAAGCCAAGACCACGAACGAGATAGCCGTCTTTGGTTTCGGACAGGCCCATGCGCAGATGAAGAAGATTGAAGGAACCGACGCAAGAAGATTGTCATCGCCCTAAACGTACCTGACACCAAGTCCTGTGTAATTTGCTCATGTAGATGCACACTTACCGTATATGATTGGAACGTTCTGCCGGAGCACTGCTTCGGAAATGTTGATGGTCGACTCAAGCCGCGTTCGACCTCTCTCAACTTCATTGATACTCAGCAGAAAGATGCTCCAGAATCCAATTGACGACTTAGACGCAACAGGTTGATGCACTTCACTTGTTTCAACAACACTACACTACACCTAGAAGCCAACGCTCAGAAATGCCGTGTCGTGTATGCCCAGTGCATATTGGGTGTTTTCCATTCACCTACTTCCATTTCGCGATTCATGCACTTTTCTGCAAGCTGTCGGGGCAAGGGCCAGAACAGAAGGGTACTGACAGCGTTACAGCCGGAGTCTTAACAAGCAGAAGTCGGAAGTTTGAAGCACTCCATGAAGCAGAAAGATCGAGGCGCATCCCCAGCGGCCCCAACGGGAAGGAGCAGGTCGACCCGAGGCACTTCGTCTCACGGCCGCCAGGAAACCCACAAAGAGCAAGCATGTAATGTTTGTTGTTGGTTGTACACATACCTAGATGCATGCATGTGTATACGAATACATTTACGTGTTTATAGTTATATATATATATATATACATACATATATATATATATATATATATATCTGGGTGTTTGTATGTACATTCATGTATATGGCCGCAAAATAATGTGCACTGAAGTTCGTGACATTGCAACACATCATCATCACCATGGTCCTATCGCGCCATGTCGCTGGATGTGATGAGATCTTGCCGCTGACAAAAACGCTGGAACTAAGTCTGGAATTCGATAGATGACCTGACCAGTACTGAACTGAGCGTATGAATAGACAATATTTCATACAGTGTCAAGATTGGTTGAGCCGGCATCGTTCCCCGGAATGTGTTCCAACCCCTGCCTGTTTTCTCCGAGGGGATCTATGTTCCAGGGTGGGTTTCTTGGCTTTTTCTGTGAGGCTCACGCATGATGTAGGGTGTGGGATTACGCTTTTTGGTTCACTATTTGCTGATATTCCAACTCTTGTCGTGCAAAGATTCAGTATGAGAGTAGGGAGGGCTCGAGGGTAAGTCTTGCCAGACTTCCAAGCACCTGCAGCCGTCAGGAATCTCAGGACTTATATGCAGAGAGCGCGGAAGGTCCTTTCATGCAACATTTCCACGGCTTCCCTTGACCTTGACCCACAAAAAGGCCTTGCCTAGAGCTGCCATCCCTCCCAAAGCAGTCTGGTGCCAGGTGGGTCAAGGACAACATCCCTTTCTGCGGTGAAGCCTACCTGGCCCATGTCCGCTACGGCACCGACTCCGAAAACAGCCTCGACAGGCCACGGCCCCATAAAAGGTTATAAAGACTTTTGAAGCATGTCGGCTGCCACGGCCTACTGTTGGATTTCCAGACGGAAAGGGAGGCAACTGCAAGTCCCCCTGCCTCTAAGGTGCCACCCGGTCACGCGTGAGAGCAATTGGATGACCCGAACTTTGGCAGCATGGGGCGATGTGGTATGGAGTGCAGCACGTCCCAGGAAGATTTCCGATGTTTTCTTGCATGAGTTCCTTCGTTTCCGCCGGCTGAGGAAACCTTATCCTTGCCGGAAATTTCAACATCACGAACAATGAGGACAGCTTTAGGACTATAGGATTGGCCACGATTAGACCTCGGGTTTGCCATGGAGAGGATGGCAGGAAGAAAAGGTGGTGGTGGTAATGATGCTGTTGATGATGTTATGAGCATGTCGGCCCTAACGCCGGTGATGATTCGATGGCAGCGACAACGAGGAAAATCGCGACTTTTCTATCCGGTGCGATGGTGGTAACGATGATAAGATGATAGTGAATGGTTAACGATGCAGAGCAACAAGAACAGTCATGATGACAGCAGAGTGGCAATCAGAGTCATGACGAGGACGACGACGATGACGATGACGACGATGGTGATGGGGGTGAGGATGATGATGCTGGAGATGATGACGGCGATCGCATTGGTGTGCTCACTAACCGTCTTGTCATGACGGCCGCCTGTTGTCAGGCTGCTGGACCTTCATTGGCATTCACGGGAACTCCCGAACTGCGACCTTTAAGCCTCAAGCCACAGCTCAAGTCCCCAAATGCCAGAAGCTTGGAGGATCTCTTCGGGAGCCTCGTCCAACTTGGCCAGCATCCCCGTGAGCTCTCCGACACCGCCGCAACCCCAGAGGTGCGTAGCAATCGAGTGATTGAGACGACTTCGACGGATGAGAGGTGGAACATGGCATCAACATCAAAATCAGCATCACCCATGCAATAGGTAGTCAGGGTTCTTGGCAAGTGAGGGTACACATCATCATCATCATCATCATCATCGTTTTCACCCGGAACGACTTGATAGCAAATGGTGCTAGGATTTAGCATATCACCAAGAACACGATCGTGACGACTGGTTCGAATCATAGAAGCAAGCCATAGTCGAATACCAGCAATTACCGCCTCTTCCTCCTCACTATCTGGTATCCGAAGTCTCGAAGACCAATCCTGGACGGGAGGAGTATGTCTTCCAGTCTGGACTTCAAAGCAACTTCGCTGCGTATTGTACTGACATCTCAGTCAGGCTTCTCACAAAATGCCTTGAGCCCGGAGCCCCTACGATGTACTTCGCAAAGGGTAAGATACGCCTTGAGTTCTGCCGAGGTTATGCTGCTGGAGAAGATCGGCCACTTCGTGGACAAGGAATGGCTCTGACAGGGCCGTGTGAACAAACGACAAGCCTTGCGAAAGGTATGCTTCTTGATTTTCGATTCGAGATGATGTCTTGGGCTTACAGGGGTCAGTGATGGAAGTTGCAGGACTTGCAAAGAACCGCGTTTCAGATTGGTTTGGTTTGGCGTGTGAGCTTCTTGAGGCTTCTCCACAGTTCGACATAAGTATAACAAAGATGCGCGCGAACATGCTGTGATTTCCCCAACAGCATGGAGTGCGAGAGGAGAACAATGACCTCTACGTGAAGTACTCGGCTGCCGGTCACAGCCCGCAGACCTGCTTCAGCGCGCTGCCCGGAGATTTCTGTCGCGGAGGGTACGGGTCTAGACTGCAGGCTGTAGAGTACCACACTCTACGAAAGAGCGGAGTAATCATGGCCAGAAATGATGCATTCAGTGCATGATCTTGTCAGAATGGTGCTCAAGATCTGGTTATCAATTAAGCCGCCAAAGCCCAAACCTGCCAACCTTCACTTTGCGTCCAGCAGCGAGAGCCCAGGTCTCATTGCCGAGAACATCAACATCGCCAGGATCCTGCGCAGGGTACCAGGGCCCAGCGAGATTTTGCCGTTTGGAAACCCCAATCGTTTGACCCGTTTCGTCTGGCACTTTGGGCCGGGAACGCGTCGACAGCACGTTTTCGATCTCGGTGAGAACTTGTTTGCGGTTTGGGATGCTGACATGGACGCTAACAAGTTTGACCCCCCTCGTGTTGCATGGAAACACTGCGACACCGGCCATTTGTTTTCAATTACGGCAGGAGTTTGTCTGTGAAGTGCATCGCTGACAAGTTTGACCCCTTGGTGTTGCAGTTTTGGACCGGCATCACCGCGACAGCAACCGTTTCTTTTTCAATCTCGGTAGGAGTTGGTCTGTGGTGTGGGACGCTGAAAAGTTTGATGCCTTTAATGTATCATTTAGGCCGGGAACACCACGACAGCGCCAATTTGTTTTCGATCTGAATGGAATGTGTCTGTGGTTCTGGCCGCTCAAAATTTGGACCAGCGATGCGACAGCGCCCGACTTGTTTTCGATCGAGCTTGGTTATGGCTTGGGACACTGAAAAGATTGACCCCTTTCGTGTTGCGTGGGAGTTTGTTTATGGTTTGGGACGCTGAAAAGTGGACCTGCCGATGTGAGGTGCAGACTGAAGGCAATAGCGATGAGAACATAGGTTATCATTATGATGACCATATCACAACTATATGGTAGGGACTATAAAGATTCGCAACAAAAACGGAGTTGCAACGACACCAGCAACTGCGCAGGCGGTAGATTGCAAAGCCTGGTAGCAATGACATTAGTAAAAGCTTCAGAGATACAGCACAGCAGGAAGAGTTGCCGTTGTCGTCTATAAGGTCATAACCCTCCGTATGCTTCGAACTCAAGTAAGCGCTGCGCTTGAGGCCTCCGGGCTCTGGGATGGTGGTTACTGCATTGCCGGACTGCTTGGCCACGGCGATGCCTTCGTGATGCAAGCGGCCCAGAAGTGGCATGAGGGGGTGAGCTAGTACTTTGGATTTTCCGGGCCTTGGGCTTTCGATGACGTGCAGTTCGGGAATGGCTTTGTCCAAGGTGAATGCTGCTCGCTTATATATAGCGTAATACTTAGGGAATCTATCCGGTATCTTTGTCCTCAATATGCGATTCCTTGCGACCCGTCTCGCCTTCCGTATCTGAGGCGTGACCCCAGTGGAATCCGCCCAGCTTTCTACTATGCCGACGACGTCACCTGCCCGCCGCAGTTTTCCCATTGAGGTTGAGTTACTGCCAAGTGCAGGATTTCGTGCTTTTTGGACAGTTTTGGCTTAAGAAGCGAAGCTTGTCGTTGTCCAGAAATTTGCTTGGTGGGTTAAATTTCAACGCTGGGGTCTTGGCTTCTAGAGTTGCAGTCTTTTCACAGTATTTGTCACATTGCTTGCCAAGCAGGAGCTTGCGGCGCAAGGGCATGTTTCGTGTTGGTTGAATTGAATCCCTGCGGGTATCAGTATCAAGCCCCTGATGCTACAGTCCTTCTGCCCCGTTCCACCCCTCCTGTCCGCCTTCCAACAGACACTACAGACACAAACTAGGGAAAGCAGTTCCCAGGACTTCATCACGGTTTGCTCGGAAGCGCCGCTGATCCAGACCGTCTTCGGTGTGCAGGAGGCTGCGACGAATAGACCGTGAATCGGTATACCTGATCTGCTCATGCACGTGTGCGTACGCAGAGTATGCATCCAGGTTTGCATGCATGCAAAGATGGGTGATGTTTCCGTGCACGCTTGTATGCATGCTTGGATGCATCCCTGCATGTGTATATGCATATAGATACGATATGTCCGTGTACACACGCACGTTTGCATGCTGAGTAAGACGTGTGTTACGGGGTTCTCGGACCTAGACCTATCAGAATTGACACGCCAAACGGTCGGTGCAGGACAAGGTGCATCCGCTTCCTCCGGGACAAGCGCTTTGCATCAAGAGGCCCTGTCACGCCCACTGAGCTGCTTTTTTGATCTGCAAGTGCCAGTAAGAGCCTCGACGACCATCGACAGTATTCAACTATCTGCGTTTTGGGGGCATCGGGGCTCCCATGTCGTTCCTGGTATTGCCAAGCCTTCCCGGATTCCCTTCCGTTGCAGGAGCGGTGCCTGGTCACTGGAGCAGATCCTGGTCCCCCTTGCAGGGCATCCCAGGATCTGGGGTTTAAGCTTCAGGGGCTTCAGGAGGTTTTAACCATCACGATCACAGGCATGGGAAGCGGGAGTGCGAAGTAGAGCAAGCGCACAACCAACGCTGGAAAGACTATCAGATACACTAGCAGCAATGCACAACGAGTGCCTTGTTCTAGTCGTTACTGTTAACAGCGATGGTGGCGATGGCAATAAAGAAACAATCCATAACAGCAAGACCAGGTAGAAGTGCACTGGCAGAAGTGCCAGCAGAGGTTGTAGCGCAAGATGATGATTGATTATGGTACTTTCACATCCATCATAACAGAGACAAGACCGACCCGTTGTTGAAGTCGCGAGCCCTTCATCTCCAGTCACTTTGGACACTGAGTCCCGAGCCCGGTGCCTTAAAGCCCTGGGTAGAAAGGCTCTGAAGCAGTGCTCTTTCGAGCGCATCTACTTCTCACGGGGCAACGATGCGGGAGTCCGGGGCCAAGAGTTGGTGCGAACGTGCGCGCCCATGGATTACGGAATCGGGCAGTTCCGGGGTTCAGAGACTTGGCGTGGAGCTGGGTTCGAAGCGAGCGTGCGAGTGCCATTCTCCTTGCCAGCCGTGTAGCTTCAGTAGCAGTGCAAAGATGGTACAGTTGGTGTTTAACAATCATCAACAGCAGCATGATCCTATCATCATCACATCATCATCATCATCATCATCATCTTCATCATCATAAATCATCATCGTCCTCGTCATCATCACCATCACAATCATTATCATCATCGTCGTCACCAACAGCATCATCATCACCAGAATTATGACCATCAGGCTCACCATAGTCGAGCAAGTTCAGATAAAGTTGCCAGCAGTTCCTGCGGCGCATACCTCTGGGTGCAGAGCAAGAGAAACCGAAGCAGAAGCTGACTTCGTCCGGCTGCGGCTGCGTGTGAGGTTTATCGCGAGCGTGAGGCACGAGGGTCGAGGGAGGGTGAGAAGCACCGAAGCTTGTGCTAATAAGGAACTGAGAGGCTTCATAAGGAGTTGAGGGCTTCAAGGACGCATTTCTATGATTGCTTGGCAGTCACGAAGAGCATTTTCATGCATGCTTCAGGCATGTCGGTTTCGATTGCAGCGGAAGCCATTTCTTACAACCCCGAGAGTGCTGAAATTGGGTGATGATTCGTTCTGACCAACCCCAAACGGGCTTTCGCACAACACTGTCACTTGCACTACTTCGAAAGCAAACTGCGAGTCTGGGTATTGCATTCTTTGCAGCAAGATCCTGAAGCCTTTGCAACGAAAAGCCAGCCGGTAAAACTACCCGTGCATGATTTTGAACTTTCAAGCAATTCGGTTTCACCCTGCGGGTTTCAGCATGGATCGGGAGGGTCCAGAGTCACCAATAATTTTGGCTGAACACGTCTGTGGGAGCGTCAAATCGAGTCTCAGCCTCGGTAAACCGAGGCACAGCCTCTGCCGTCCCGAAACCATATGCCGGATGCCAAAAACCTCCCCGCCCCTTCTTGCCCCGAACCATTCAGACCATAGGGTCGGCAGCAAGGAGCTGGGCCGCCTGCTATTGCCTCCGCTGCTGAAGTTGTTGCCGGCTCAGCCGCAGGATTCAGTTGCTATAGGGGCCTAAATAGTTACCAATACCATTTTGGGGGTTCCTTGTCAGAAATCTAGTACCCCAAAACCCTATTCTGATTATTCAGGCCCTATATGAGCTCCCGTGCTGTTCCTTTGGGCTTTCCTTGTGTGTGTCGCCGCTTGATGGATGAAGGCTCTGAGGTTAAGGGGCTAATTAGTACAAGCACAGCAATTACGGTTTCCGTGGTTTGCATGATCGTCACTGCCACAATTATGTCGTGGTGATGATGACCCTCATGCTGATGGCGTTGCTCATCATCGTCATGACCATGCTCAGTAGATTGCTGAGGATTCCTTGGCTCCCCTTTTACACCCGAAGCTCCGGAGCTCCCCCAGGCTGAAGGGCAACAGCCTGTCACTGGCGCACCTCGGCTTGGGTTTCGGGGCTTTTTCAGGCGTTTTGTCTTTTCGAAGGTGTCCCGGTGTTGCTCAAGGTCTTCAGCTCTATGATCTCTGTGTGAAGTGGGATGTGATCTCTGCTGCTTCAAGGGAAGCCCAGGAACACCGTGCTCAGCTTCATCCCAAACACCTCCGAGTTGGCTTTCCTTGGCCTGGCCAAGCAGGCCTCTGCTGCAGGTTTAGGGCTTTGGGTTTTAGGGTTTGAGATTCAGATTCCGAGTTTGCAGGGTTTGGGTTTGGATTCATCGATTCCAAGAGCTGCAATCCCTCGCCCCGAACCCAAAATCCGAACTTCCAATGTTGACGCAGGCTCAGGACCACTTGGATCGCGAGAAAGCTGAGCTGGTCAAGGCCGATGTGTGCTAGTTAGTAGTGCTCCCTGCGTAGTACTCACAGGATGTGAGCCATGTGGATCAAATTGCGTGACACGGCAGTGGTGACAGAGTGGTGGTACTGGTAGTGGTAGCGCAGAAGCGGTGGTGGCTGCAGTAATGATCAGAGTTCTAAAGTATTGCCAGGAAGAATCCACATGTTGATGCAACTCGGACCAGCTGTGCAAGGTAGTAGTAGCGGCTGGGATGTCACAATGAGAGCGATTGTCCTGCTGCCCGGCTGCTAGCCAGCAAAGTGCTTCTCCAGACCCTCACACTGCTCCCCAGTCATTGAAGTTTTCAAACGACTACTTCAAAGGGTGCTTTGCTACGGCTTGTAACAGTCGACGGGTGTCATGTGGTCATCATCGCCGCCTGCTGTGGCAAGGAGCAGATGGCATAGGTTCGAGCAGTTCTTGCAAACGCTGGATCGTAAGCACCGACAGAAGCAAGTGAATGCACCAACTGGGACTCTCCAAACCCCAAACCAAAAATCCAAGCACGGGGGTCGCAAGGCAGCGTACTGTTGGGGGGGCCATGGATGCGCAGGCAATGGGCCAAAATGGCAGCGCCGTGAAAATAGACGAGGCGAAGCTTCACGAATTGCTGAGCGCCAAGGCCCGTCCGTCAGGTGACCCGCTTCCGGCTAATGCGACTGTTTTTAATGCTGGCCCGCGACGATGACGACTTGCTACTACGACGAAGACGGCCACTACCACCACCGCCACTACGACGACGACTACTACTTCTACTACTCCTGCTGCGTCACCACATGGCCGCCATCATGAGTTCTTTGTGAATACTCTCAGGATTCCCTGTTTCAGTTCTTTCGGGACATAGGGGCATCTTGAAGAGGGCTACAACGGAGCCACCGCCAACTAAATGTTTTTGCATTTAAAGGGCAAATTCACATCTTCTGCATTCACGCCACTGTCGTCGGTGCTTATCTAGTAGATTTGCAGGTCAGGTCTTGAACTTTAAGTCAAGTCAGATCTCACGGTGTTTGTCGCCAAAGATGATGATTGTCATCATGCAGGTACTGTCCAAGTTGCGATTATCCGTATGAGTGGTCAATGCTCGCTACTGTTGCTTTGCACCAGTAGTCGGGGTTTGACGCTGGTGATGGCAGGTGCGCACAGAGAAGGTGGTGCACAAGGATGCGAAGATCCGCACCTTTATCCAAGAGGACAGGCACCCGTAAACGTAATGGTCCCATCGACACTGCAATCGAGTGCAGTAATAGTAACAGTGGTAGCCATAGAAACGTACACGCTGCTAGTTCGTCTGACTAATCCTTCCAGTTTGTTGTAGCAGCAGCACTAGCAGCAGCAGTGGCGGCAGCAGCACCAGCAGGAGTAGGAGCGCAGAGTAAGAGTAGGCGTAGGGGTGGGGGTCGGAGTCGGAGTGAGAGTAGCAGCAGCAGGAGGAGTAGGAGTTGTAGGAGGAGGATGAGGAGGAGGAGCGGCAGTGTAAGTGTTGTTGTGGTCGCAGTAGCAGAAGTAGACTTCGTCGTCATCGTCGTCTCGGGTATTCTTCAGAAAGCTCAGCATAAGATGAAGGCCCGTAGGACTACCCGAAGCAGAGCAAGAGCGCAAAGCAGGTAAGGTCGTGGCCGCAGCATTGCCGTTCACCTGCCAGGCCAATCAACGAATCATGTCGACAACCTGTCCATTCACATGAGCACTAGCTAAGCGAATGGCTATTCGGCTATTCGTCCTCGTATCGCTATCATTGGACGCGCATGGTACCTGATCATGTTGTGACGATAATCATCATGCACACTGTTGCAGTTTCACAGGATTCATCCCGTGAGCACCTCACGATGCACGCCTACGACATCCACTACGGCACGGTGCGACGGGGCCAGGCTCGCCTTCGGTTCGGCACTGGTAACTATGTTCTTGTGGTTCAAGGCTTGGACGGCTTTCCACGATCATAGGTTTAGCCAGCAGGGGTTTCGCGTGGCCTGCCTGGACTCCAAACCATGTCGACAACGCACTTGTGGACGAAGGTTGTCTTTGCAAGAATTTTCCATCCTACAACGGCATCAGCCCTTTATGAACAAGACATATCGTGATAGTAAGAGCAGCATGGCATTCATGTAGGACCAAAGGGAACCGTGAAGCGAGCCAGACGTATATGTGCATGCACAACTAATCATGCCAGTACATTGGGTACTCATTTCTGAGTACTGTTCTCAGTATTGACTTGGCGGATGCTGGGGCCTAGATGGAATACTGGTAACCTTGAGAACAGTACAAGCAGTCCTTGCAATTCGAGAGTGAGCAGAGCAAAGCTAGCTGAGTTCGGTAGCAAGGAGACAGAGCAAGTAGAAGACTACCGATGCTACTGGCAGCAACGGCAGCCTTGCTGTGAGCGTCCAGGATGCCGTGGTCGCCTTGGACGACTCTATCGTCCGCGGCAACACCTTGAAGAACGCCATCCTCAGGTGATGCACCGAGCGGTTCCCGAGTTGGCTTTGGGGTTTCACGGATCATCAGGCCGGTATCTTTGCCCTGCACCTTTAGTCCCGCAACACTGACGCTCCCAACCCAATGCCTGGGCGTCGATCACAGGACCCTGGACAAGATGGGACCCACACAGATCGTTGTTGTGCCCGCAGCCCGGCGTCCGTGGAAGTCTCCAGTTTGAGTTCCAGCATCTCGTTCTCCTGCAAGGCCTGTCTTCTAAGTTGTAGCCCATATTCAATCTTGCTCGGCGTGGCGGGGTGACCCCTGTTAGGTTGAAATCCCGGTGTCGTTCCAAAGCGAATTTACGGATCTGTTGACTCTGGAGTTTACCGGCGTCCGCGCGTCCCTCCAGTATTAGTTCGGCCCCTGCTTGCCTTTACAATTGCAAAGCCTCGAAAGCTTCCCTAGTCCCAATTTGAAAGCCTTAAGCCCTAAGCCTCCAAACTGAAAGGATTTGGATCGTTGCTGCATGTCTATGCCTGATTGCAATGTGGGCTCGAGTGCAGACTCAAAGCGGCCCTCCACAAAGATCCTTCGACCGTTTAAACTCGAAGACGTTACTTTCAGGTCGAGCTGCCCTCAGATTCGATACCCGGACGTCTACGGCATTGCCGGGGGCCCATGGGTTAAGCCTTCGCTCGTTGCATGCAGCAAGATGTTTCAGGTTTTGGGTCTGGGGGATTGAGTTGAAAGGGTGTGGTTCAAGTTTAGGGTTCAGGTTTGGGCTGTGCTGGCGAGGTGTGGGAGACCGGGTCATACCAGGTCGGGATGAGCATCCAAGTTGAAAGCGATAGCCTTCGCCTTCCGATTGTGGCTGTACGGCTGCTCTTGGTGTGGGTTTCACTCACAGGCACACTCTACATAAAGAAAACCCCATCCCATCTAAGCGACGCACCCCCAGGACATGGCCAAGTTGGGAGATTTGGCGGCTTTCAAAGCGGCAGACGCCTCACGGGCGGGAGGTGTAAGGGAGGTGTAGGGGAAGAGCTTCGAGTTGTTTTTCTTTTGCATTGTTTATAGATTTATGCGAAGGACTTGAAGCCATGCACTTGGAGTGAGGATCTTCTTCAGGGCTCTAGACTCTAGCAGATGCGAGAGTCCTAAGCCGGCGTTAGGATGGGATTCAGCTGGCTCCGTGCTCCTCATCTCAACTTCTTGTCAAATTAGCCTCGTAAACTGCTCGTAGCATGCACCTTTAAGATCAGATCATTCGAGGCCATCCGTCGTGCAGCACGTGGATCCGAGCCCTCACAAGGAATTCCGTGCGTGCAGCTGTAAACAACCTAGGCACGATTCTTTTGCCGCAAGTACAGGAAGAGATCCCGACGACAAGGTAGGAAGAGATGGGAAGGGCAGATAGATAGTGCTCCGTAGTCACGATCAGCATGAAGTGACGAACCGCGAACAAGCAAAGGCAGCATTGAGAACCTCGCAACAACAAGCAACACCATAATGATCATGCTCAAGCGCCGCTGAGGCCGTCGGTTTGCTCAAAGAGAGGCGCAGCCGGTTGCTGGAAGATTGAAAGCGTTTGACATCCCTTCCCTTCCCTTCTCTCCTTCCCTTCCCTTCCCTGCCATGTTGATCATGCATGTTCGAAGCCACGTGAGGATTCTTTAGATTGGGGTCCCTTCAACCTGAAAGGGCTTCCCGAGGGAGATCTGCGAGCTCAGGGGTTCAGGGCCTAAAGACTGGAGGTAGTTCGACACCCTGCAAGACCTATGGATCGTCGGCGTAGGGGGCTGTGCTTTTTTCAAGACTCCCGCAAAAACCGAAGAAGCCTGGAGCTCAGGGGCAAGGAGCACGTCGTCAACGAGGTCTACCGACTCTGCCGCGAGGAGCTGAAGGCCCAAGCCTTCTGGGTTTTGGGAGCCCTTCTTTTCGTTCATTTTTTCGCTCAGTTGAGGGGAAAAACCTAGGCCACGAGGCGAGCAATCTGGAGCAAGGAGTGGAGCTAGTAGACTTCGAATTTGGTGTGCCCGAATGCGGAAGGAGCCTGCTGTTAAATTATTGTGCACACCTGTGTGGTGGAAGTGCTCCGACAACACTTCGCTTGGAAAAGAGCGGCCTTTGCGAAGTGAAAGTCTATCAGTAGAGTCTGTGTTGAAGTTTTGGAAGGCTTCAAGTCCAAAGTGCCTGATATGAGGCCATGCAGTGTCAGGGGAGAACTTGCAGCAATGCTTGTATCCTTAGCGCTTCGTATACGCAACCAGTGTGTCTAGTCCGAGCGCCAACATGCCCCGCCCCAGGCATTGCCTTTGATTGTAGCTGGAGAGCTAGCCGGTTGGAGCTACAGTATGTCCCATGCTTTGCTTGTCTATGTTGCTGGAATCGCTCATGCATGGCTTTGGCTGCGCCTCTGTGTGTCCGGCAACGGCGTTTATCACCCTGTGTAGCGGAGAGGGATGTCGCGTGCTGCTCACTCGCCCGCTCATCCTGTTGCGACAAGCATGAATCATACCGTAACATCCCTCGATGGTGCCGTCACGAAATCTGAAGTTCGCTCAAGGCCGTGTTGAAGGTGCATAACTGCATAACCTATCGGATATAGTGCATGAGATGCAAGAAACCCTCGAGCTTGACTCTTGCTGGAGGCTCCGCTTAGCTCTGGCACGACTGTGAACCACGCAGATGCCTCAGGGCCGCCGGTGGGCTTACGATTTCGGGTGGCTAGTTTTTCTGATCGAGGAGCAGCAGGGCAGCGTTGCAGGACCCAGAGCCGAAACACCAGCAGATTTCGAAAGAGTTCCTCAACCCATGACAAAAGCCTAAGCCACAGAAGGTTGGGGTCATGGCCCAAAGCTCGATACTTCCCCGAGGCTCCCTTCCTCTTCCACGTTTGCAGCATGAGGTTCATGGGTAGTCATGAGCCATCAGTAGGGCTTATAAGACCCTTAGGAAAGGCTATAATATACTTAGGCTACAACTATAGTTGTCCTACTCTTAAACCCACTTATAACTACACATCAGGTGCAGAAGATCTACGAGTCCTTCACCCCGGAGGAGATCTCCCTGCGCATCGCCCAAGACGTGCAGCCCCAAGACTTCTTTGTCTTGCGCGGTCGCTTCGCGCTTGCGCGGTCGCTTCGCGCTTGTGAGGGGGGTTCAGGTTTTCGGGTTGGGGCGTCTGGGGGTTTACGGTCCCCCTCCGCTCGCCACCCACGACTGTAGTGAAGAGGCTGAGGCCCAGCCTCAACACAGGAGCACTGCAGCTTCAAGCGGTCGGGATCAGGAGTGAAATCAATAGTTTTGCCTCCTGTAGTCCCTACATAGACACACTATACAGTACACTCCAAATCATGCGCTAATTGTGTTCTACATGTTCTTAATTAATTGCACATTTCAAGACGCCGAGGTGACACCCGATGATTGTAAGGCCAAGGTCCACATCCTCTACCAGACCGTGGAGGAAGCAGAAAGTAGGGCTCTGCAGCGTTAGGGAGGGTAAGGTTGGGGTTTAGGGTCGTTTAGGGTCGGGTTGATGCTTGCAGTTATGGTACTGTAATTTTAGCGGTTCAGATTGGATTCGTCTATTAGTCTCTGAGCCTACAATATCGAAACGCTGCTGAACGACTGCCACAGGACCTCCACCGCGCACTGCCGCACCACAGCGGTGATTGGCATCTCGGTCAAAGTTGGATCCGAAAATCGGGCATTTTTGCTGAATTGGGGTCCCTGTGAAGTGCCCATCAGGGCGTTGGTATGGACCCAGAGGCCCACAATAGTTTTGAATGGCCCACGGATGCATGGATGAAGGCCCACTGATCAGACAAGACTGAGCTATGTACAAATCCCTTCGCACGAATAAACCAGCTGCCGCAAGGACTCGAAGTCCTGGCCCCATTACTTCGTAAGTGATCTTCCTCATAGGATTGTTCACCATCAGGTATTTCACCGGTGACTACCCGACCCCTGGAGGCAAGGAGAGCGATTTCCAGATCTGTGGCCAAAGTGGCTAACATGCTAAACTCAGACGGGTTCGCTGGATAACGGCGAGAGCCTCTAGAACAAGATGCCTTGCCAGCGGGCACAGATATATAGCAGCCACCTCTGTTGTCTGTCTGTCTGTCCGTCTGTCCAGCTGTTGCATGGATGTACGTACGTATGTATATACGTATCTATGTATGAAGCATCCGCCCATCCATCCATAAATGACATGCTTCAGCCCTCGCGCCATGCACCGTTGAAGAGGCGCTCGAGTTTGCTGTCGTGCCTTCGCCCTCTGGATGGAGGGAAGCAGCCGGTGGCTGAGAGCTTGTGGCTCGAGACACACGACGGAAAGGAGCAGCAGTGGTTTTTGCAGAGCCCTAAACCCTAAACCCCTAAACCCTAAACCCTTGAAGATTCTAGTGCTTTTTTCTAGCAGCAGGTGCTTGCCTTTACCATTCTGACGGACCGGTTCATCGGAGCTTCTTTGTTCTGGTATGGTGTGTGTGGCCGCATAAACGTGCCTAAAGCTGCGCCGGACAATTGTTTTGTAGAAGCAAACTTTCGGGATATTACGTCATGTATATCTGTATCTGTGTCCGTATCTATCTTTATGCTTGTCTGTATCGGTCTATCCATCCATCGATCGATCTAGTTGTCTCTCCGCCCTTTTATCTCCTGCATCTACATTTCTGCCTAGCTACCTATCTATCTATCTCACCTGGTCCCTTGCGAGCAGTTGCACGTTCGTCACCCTCTTTCCCCTTAGGCCAGCGCTGCTATGGCATCAACTCGGCTCGGGACCTAGAGCTGCTCTGCAGGGTTTCGATTGGTGGGTTTGGGATGGCGTTTTCATCCAGCGCTGTTGGATGCCGTCTCGCCTTTCAGTCGCAGTCCCACAGCCCATGGCTCCACATGGCAGAGGGAAGGTAACACGATCCAGTAGTAGGTAGTCATTCTTGCAGCCCCTAGATCAAACCAGGCCGGACTGGACTCCACCATTTCGCAAAGTCCCCCAATGCTTCGTGGTAAACTCGTTTTCCAGCAGGGGCCCAAGGGCATCTTCAGTCTCGCTGCCGCTCGAGGCCTTGTCCTTCCTGCGCGCACGCCGCCCGGTGCTTGTGCTAGGCACAGCCTCTGACTGCAGATATAAGCAGGGACCGGAGTCTTTGGACGTTGCCTGAGAGAGACCTCCGGCGGGGCTTCAATGAGCCACCTTTACACCTTGAGCGCTGAACCTTTCAGTCCTGAAGCCGTAAGACGATTGCTTCTCCAGGCTCCGGCGCTCGGGAGCACGCCCTCGCCTGGAAGCTGAGCAAGAGCCCAGAGGCTACAGCGAAGAGAGTGCTTATCGGAGCAACACAGAACACGAGGAATAACGCCAGCAGTGAGCTTCAGTCCTGGTACTACCGGAGCGGCTAGTGGGTGTTTGCCCCGCTTGTAGGGGGGGAGGCTTTCCTTTGCAGCCCAGACTCTGATGTTTTGCCAGGTCAGCGTTGTCTTCGTTGGCCCCGGAAACGGCGGCATCGGCAACTCATACGGACAGGCATGGGCCCCTTAAAAGGATCTCCGCATTCTGCTGGTGGCCTGAAGCAGACTGAGATTTAAGATCTAAGACCGTTTGTCGCAGCAGCCTGACAGAGCTAGTCTTTTGACCTGATCCTTAGCTGCTGCTTCTTATCATAAGTGGCTATTTGTTTGGCACCATTTTTGTGTGCCAGGTCAGACCGCCCGAACCACATAAATTCCGAAGATCCTACGGCAGGGAGGCTTCTCCCTACAAAGAATAACGCGAACCGGCCTTAAAGCTTCAAAGCCCATCCCGTCCATGAACGGCCCGAGTCTCGGAAGGCGGAGCCCTTCGACTCTTCGCCGATGGTCAACGTGGACGTGGCCATCTCTGCCGCGGGCCCACTACAATCACTACAGTCATAATGATGACTATCATCATGATACCACTAATCTAGTTGTGACCAATGCACAGTCGAACGCTGCTGCTTCTGCTGCGAGACGGCCGTCACCACCACCACGATCGGGCTACGACCAGAGTGCTGCTAATCAGCATAATCATAGTTATCCTGATGATGGTCTTTGGAATGCCGGTAACAACCGAAGTCGCAATCACCATCGTAACAAGAAGCGTGCGACGACAGAACGAGTGCTACAGGCTCAAGTGCTGCTCACGAGCTTCCGTACCAGCCAAAAGAAGCAGTTCTGGTGATGTTTTCGGCTCAGACTTGGATTGCCAAACCCTGGATGTCAAGGTCTCGGTAAGATGGGTTGAAGACTCACGGACGAGCAAGTCCCAAATGTAGGGACACTCATTAGAGTTTCGTGCTCGCATTGTGCTGTATATGCCATGGGTTCCGGAGGGAGCATCGACAAGGACCGATTCCCTGCCCGTTTGGTTGCATGGAAGTGCTGGAGTGTTGCATCCATCATGTGCGGATGTATTACCAGGAGCCCCTCGATGCAAGAATCAGAGTGCATGCCCTGACTGATGCTGTCTGGTCAAATTCATTCAAGACAGAAAAGGCACTGCGAGTGGCAAGTCAAGACTTGTATGGCTAGAGGCACGGATGCACATGATAGTGGGTATGTTGTGTAGTACCTCATCGTTTCTCGTGAATGCGAGGCGGCACGTGCATCTCAGTGCTGCAAATCATAACTCCGCCGACCGAAGGAAAGCCGGGATGCTTACAAGCGACACCTCTACTCGGCGCGCCGGTTACGAGGGGCAGAAGGGAAGTGTATGGTTTTTTATTAGCCTCACACTGCCGGACCCTGTGGCCTCAGGATTTAGAGTTTAGAGTTCGGGGCGGAAGAGGCTTCTGGTCTAGACGAAGGACTTGAATGCTTCGACATGACCGGTGCAATTGCTTTACGTACGATGCTTGCACTGGGTCATTTGAGGACCGAGCCCTAGAGTCAAGATTGAGTTTTCGATGTCATTCAGGCTTTTGATAAGCTGGGCTTCTTCTTACGGTTCTGGTTTCCAAGTTCCTTCCTCAACACACGAAAGGTTCCACCTGCAGCCCGTTTCTGGATGGAGTTTCGAGGGCCTTCCATCCCCAAGTGCGATATCCGAAGGGTTTAGGGTTTAGGGCAGTAGTTTGAATACCTTGAAGGATAAAGTCTTAAGAACAGCCATGGAAGTGCACCTGCATGCTCTCTAGTAGTTCTGAGCACAGGAACCTTGACGTATACAGCGACACCAAATCATGGCAACTTCCTTCTTACCGTACCTTGAACTTGGTTGGGGCCATAGTCCGCAGTCCGCAGACTCTGCCTTGGAAGGTAGTGGCCAGCCAGGGCCAATCCGCGCAGGCCACCGAAGAATGTGATCGCAGTTGAAGAGTTTGAGTGGTATCCAGAGTTGAGGGCTTCTGGAGCTTCCAGGTTTCTAGAGATTCTGCTCCTTTGGCACTTCAGGGTCCTTTGCTTTGTCGGGGCTCGTCGTTCAGCGCTTCGAGATACTGGCTCGCATTCATCATCGTTTCATGCGGATTCAGAACCTGCCCAGCAGTGGGAGCACTGAACCCAGGAACCAGGACGCCTTCAAGCGCAACAGACCCACAGAGGCCCAAACCCCAAAGCCAAACGACTCTTCACTGGACAGGCGGCTTTGGCGGCCCCATCTGCTGGCTCCTTCTCCGTTACTCTCGCGCTGCTCAGTGGCCAGGTTCTCCCGCAGCAGCGTTCAGAGGGTAGGTTTCAGGGAGTTCTGGCATCTTGATAGCTTCACTGTTTCGTAGCGCTTTGATGGCCTACATGTGGGTTCAGGCCTCATAACATCTATGGGGAGGATAAGATGACACTCGCAAAGCTTGCCAGAAGCTCTGAGCCCACCCCTAAACCCTAAACCGAGGAAGTCAAGGTCGCGACCAGCCCAGATGCCACGGTGGAAGAGGTGAAGTTATCCGCACCGCAGGACGTATTGAAGAGAGAGCAGACAGTCTTCAGGGGAGTTGAGAGTTCCAGCATCCTTGGGAGGACCTTTGTACACTTTTGTTGAACTCTCAGGATGTCGCCATGCTGGCTAAAGTCCCAGGTTCATAACCCCGTACGCACCACGTCCGCTTCGCAGGACTTCGGCAAGATCACCTCTCTCCTGAGTGGAGGGCAGGTGCTTGAAAACTTTGGGACGCTGCGGGAAGCAAAGGTGCAGGAGCCGGAAGGTTTGGCTTCAAGGGGCCAGTCTGAATTCGCTGGAATCGTTGAATTCGCCGGACTTGTTGCGAACTCGGCATTGGTCTTGACACTTTCTCCAGGACGTCTAATTGCCCCAGATCCCCTACCCTGAAGCCGAAACACGCATACCCCCCCCGTAGAAAATCCCAGATCCTAGGCCCGGCACCTGTCTTCGTGATGAGGACGGTGAGATCCTAACCGCAGTGGTGGGCCGAGCCGTGAAACTCCGCGCCAACAAGACACTCCTCCGATGACGAGTGTTTTGTGTGTGCGGTTTCAACTTTAGTGGGGAGCTGGGGGGCTTAGGGATTCAGGTGGTGATGGGGGAGCTTGGGGAGTTCAGTTTAGGGCTTCCGGTCTTCAAGTCTGGGGTCTCGGCGTCTCGCCATCCAGGGTTCAGCGGGCTCCGTTGGTAAGGTCTTCGGCTTCTGGTAGTGGGGCTGGAATGTTTAGGGTTGTTGCAACCAGGGTTTCGTGATGAGGGTGCTCTTGATAGGGATCCTGGGCGTGGAGTTCGCTGTAGCAAAGCCAGGCAGAGTGGCATGTCCAGGTTTACAGCATGGGTAGAAGAAGTATGCGACCTGCAATCACACTTTTTCGACTCGAGTTCGGGTTGTCACGTGACTGGTGTGGTGGCAACGCGCCAGATATGACCAGCAAGCTTCGCATGGTAGCTGCAAGTACAGAAGCCTTGCAGGCATTGTGCCACGACAAACAACCGAGAATTCGCTGCCCTTCGTTGATACGCTTGGCTGATGTAGGCACAGCGAGGAGGAAGTGGAACCACATGAAATTGAAATCATGTTGTCACGGAGCGCACCTGTTGCGAAGTTCTTGGGGGCGGGGACCCCGTTCATCTGTGATCTCTGCCGAGGAAGACGTCAGACTGGGCCTCGGACTCCTTTGCGCTGCCTCCTGGCCGAAAGGGCCAACATTTTGGCGAGGCTTTGCTGCTAATTCAAAGTCATGGAATCGGAAGTGAAGCCCGTTGATGGCGAGCCGTGCATGGCGCTGCGAGGTTGCGCAGCGACGGGACGGTGGCCACATGGGGGGAATCGAAGGCGAGCTTCAGAGCTTTCGGGATGCTTTCTGCAACCAAATCAGTGGTTGAGGCTGGCTGCCTTCCCTCCGAGTGCGCGGGGGATGTGGCATGAGATTGTCAGCGAGTGTGTGTTTGGGAGATTCAGACAGACTCTTGCATGTCAGCGCTCTGTGGTGCAGGAAGGAGGCAACAGCTCCTACGTCCAGGCCCGGCTCGACTGTGACTGCTTGTCAGCAGGCTTTCGCTTTATGGCGCCGGCTCTGATTCCGACGATGGTGACGACCGTTGCTGCAATGACCCATCGCGATGAGTCCTGATCATGGTCAATCGTCATCATCGTCATCATCGTCATCACCATCACCACCATCATCACCATTATCATCGTCATCGTCATCGTTCACTTGTCATGTCCGCGCTTGGAGGTGACAGGACAGCAGTGAGCAGTGACGTCATTCGACCAAGGTTCTGCGTGGATTTATTGTTGAAACGCGTGCATGAAGACCGCAGTAGGTCGTTTCTCGTGAAATCGGACTTCAATATTTGAGCATCCACTGCTGGCGGATCAGGATCGTCTGGTGGGCATCGAGGACGGGATGGTGAAAGGGGGCAAACTAGTGCAAGGCACCGACCAACCTTTCAGTGACACTCGGTGCTTCTTGTCCCTTTTCTAAGTAGCCCTCAGCTTCAAGCGGAAGCCCAATTGTAACTCAAGCTTCGTCAGGCTCGTGAGCAGAGGAACTGCACACTGGTGCATGTATGTCGCCTCCTAAACCGCCAACACCCCTCAGCCTGAGCCCCAAATCTTCCTTCCATCCTTCAGAGCTGAAAGGATCGGGCTCTTGTTGCGGGAATCTATTTTTAAGTTACCATAATCATGGGGATCTACAGCAAATAGTAGGGTTTTCTTATTCTGGTAGCCTAAATGAAATCACCAAAAAGCAAGAGCCCAGAGGACGTGGTCGGCTCTCAGGGCGCCTTTGCCGCCCTCCGCAGCGACGGCGATGTGGTGGTCTGGGGCCACAAGGCCGTTTCGGCTGGGTCCAAAGAGGCTTCGTTCGGGGCGTCTCCGGGCTTCAGGCTTTCGGGCGCAGGAGTGTAGGGTTTAGGGATTGGGGATTGGGGATTGGGGGGGGTTAAGAGTTTAGGATCTCTGGCTTCAGGGCGTGAGGGTCTACGACGCATGATTCATGTATTTCAGGTCTCCGAGAGTCGTTGAGCTACATATGTTGTATTGTCGACATCACCGAGACTATAGTGGCTCTGCTCGAAGCGTTCCATGTCCTAAGGTCCTAGGCATGGGGACCCTGCCACTACACTACCCCCCCAAGTCCCTGCGACTCAAATCCTCAACCGCAACGCTGAATCCGAAGCTCCGGAGAGCAGAATGGTCGAGGATCAACTGTGGACAACTCGTCACCCCCAAACTCGAACCCTTGTTCTTCTTGCTCTGACTACTTCTTCTTTCGAGGATTTCGGGCTGCACGTGGCTGGCGCAAAGGACCGCCCTTGCCGGGATCCCCCGTTAACGCCTGAATGATCTTTCTGACCGTATCGGCCAGTTGTTCTGATGGCACCGGTAGGGATCTTTACTGGGGGAATCATTTAGGAAGAGGCTTCAAAGCAACCTATTGAAAAGCCGGGCCTGTGCATGCCTAAGGGCCTAAGCAGTCATGTCCATCACAGAGCGTCCATTTCCAGTCAGGTTGCCACTTTCGGACGTGTTACCAACGGCCTCATGAACAGGGTTCTCCCTTGAGTTTCGATGGTACACGTGCGCCCTTGCAAGGCAAAGCGACACTGGCATCCAACTAGAAGCTAGTGAGGCACAGAGTAGCGGCCCGACAGGGCGTTTGGTCTTACTGTGGTCAGGCCGCAAGGCCAGTGTGTTCACACATGTCAAAACACAGCAACACAGTGCTGCCGGGGAAGCAAGGCGAGAAAGAATCGTTGTGTACCCTGCCTCAGGACAAGCTGAAGAACATAAAGCACCCGGCAGCATTTCTTCCATAGTTCTGCTTCTGTTGAAGACTTGGGACTGCTCAAGAGACGGATCGGTTTGGACTTCAAAGGGTGGTCTCGGCTGTGTTGCCTGGTTGCCTCGAGGGAGATTCCATCGGACAGGGCTCTTGACTCCTGATGCCTGGGCAATAAAAAGATATCCTAAACAGCACCCAAGATGTCTCTCAAAACAGCCACCAAAATTCTAAAGGCAGCTGGCGGCCACTTCTCGAGCTTTCGCAGCACTAACCTCCGAGGGCAAGGTGGTGGCCTGGGGTGATGCCGCTCGGAGATCTGATCAGAACCTTAAACACCCTAAACCCGCGATGATACGACTCCTCCTACTCCTATAAGCCTGCACTCAAACTTGCCATTACCATTGCCGCTCCAATACCGCCACCATTACTGGTGCTGCGGGATGCCAGCCCGCACCAACCGAGTGCTTCCATGCTGCTGCGGGCAGCCAGCCCGCACCGACCGAGTGCTGCCATGCTGCTGCGGGCAGCCAGCCCGCACCAACCGAGTGCTTCCATGCTGCTGCGGGCTGCCAGCCCGCACCAACCGAGTGCTTTCATACGGCTGCGGGCAGCCGGCCCGCACCAACCGAGTGCTTCCATGCTGCTGCGGGAAGCCTGCCCGCACCAACCGAGTGCTTCCATGCTGCTGCGCGCTGCCAGCCCGCACCAACCGAGTACTTCCATGTTGCTGCGGGCTGCCAGCCCGCACCAACCGAGTGCTTCCATGTTGCTGCGGGCTGCCAGCCCGCACCAACCGAGTGCTTTCATACGGCTGCGGGCAGCCAGCCCGCACCAACCGAGTGCTTTCATACGGCTGCGGGCAGCCAGCCCGCACCAACCGAGTGCTTCCATGCTGCTGCGGGAAGCCGGCCCGCACCAACCGAGTGCTTCCATGCTGCTGCGGGCTGCCAGCCCGCACCAACCGAGTACTTCCATGTTGCTGCGGGCTGCCAGCCCGCACCAACCGAGTGCTTCCATGTTGCTGCGGGCTGCCAGCCCGCACCAACCGAGTGCTTTCATACTGCTGCGGGCAGCCAGCCCGCACCAACCGAGTGCTTCCATGCTGCTGTGGGAAGCCGGCCCGCACCAACCGAGTGCTTCCATGCTGCTGCGGGAAGCCTGCCCGCACCAACCGAGTGCTTCCATGCTGCTGCGGGGTGCCAGCCCGCAACAACCGAGTACTTCCATGTTGCTGCGGGCTGCCAGCCCGCACCAACCGAGTGCTTCCATGTTGCTGCGGGCTGCCAGCTCGCACCAACCGAGTGCTTTCATACGGCTGCGGGCAGCCAGCCCGCACCAACCGAGTGCTTCCATGCTGCTGTGGGAAGCCGGCCCGCACCAACCGAATGCCTCCATGTTGCTGCGGGGTGCCAGCCCGCACCAACCGAGTACTTCCATGTTGCTGCGGGCTGCCAGCCCGCACCAACCGAGTGCTCCCATGCTGCTGCAGGCTGCCAGCCCGCACCAACCGAGTGCTTCCGTGTTGCTGCGGGCAGCCAGTCCGCACCAACCGAGTGCTTCCATGCTGGTGCGGGCAGGCAGCCCGCACCAACCGAGTGTTTCCATGCTGCTGCGGGCTGCCAGCCTGCACCAGCCGAGTGCTTCCATGTTGCTGCTGGCTGCCAGCCCGCGCCAACCGAGTACTTCCATGTTGCCGCGGGCTGCCAGCCCGCACCAACCGAGTGCTTCCATGCTGCTGCAGGCTGCCAGCCCGCACCAACCGAGTGCTTCCATGCTGCTGCGGGCAGCCAGCCCGCACCAACCGAGTGCTTCCATGTTGCTGCAGCCCGCACCAACCGAGTGCTTCCATGCTGCTGCGGGCTGCCAGCCCGCACCAACCGAGTACTTCCATGTTGCTGCGGGTCGTCAGCCCGCACCAACCGAGTGCTTCCATGCTGCTTCGGGCAGGCAGCCCGCACCAACCGAGTATTTCCATGTTGCTGCGGGTCGTCAGCCCGCACCAACCGAGTGCTTCCATGTTGCTGCGGGCTGCCAGCCCGCACCAACCAAGTGCTTCCATGCTGCTGCAAGCAGCCGGCCCGCACCAACCGAGTGCTTCCATGTTGCTGCGGGCAGCCAGCCCGCACCAATCCAGTGCTTCCATGCTGCTGCGGGCAGCCAGCCCGCACCAACCGAGTGCTGCCCGCACCAAGCGAGTGCTTCCATGTTGCTTCGGGCTGGCAGCCCGCACCAACCGAGTGCTTCCATGCTGCTGCAGGCTGCCAGCCCGCACCAACCGAGTGCTTCCATGCTGCTGCAGGCTGCCAGCCCGCACCAACCGAGTGCTTGCATGTTGTTGGGGGCAGCCAGCCCGCACCAATCGATGCTTCCATGCTGCTGCGGGCAGCCAGCCCGCACCAACCGAGTGCTTCCATGTTGCTGCGGGCTGCCAACCCGCACCAACCGAGCGCTTTCATACGGCTGCTGGCTGCCAGCCCGCATCAACCGAGTGCTTCCATGCTGCTGCGGGAAGCCGGCCCGCACCAACCGAGTGCTTCCATGTTGCTGCGGGCTGCCACCCCGCACCAACCGAGTGCTTCCATGCGGCTGCGGGCTGGCAACCCGCATCAACCGAGTGCTTCCATGCTTCTGCGGGCAGGCAGCCCGCACCAACCGAGTGTTTCCATGCTGCTGCGGGCTGCCAGCCCGCACCAACCGAGTGCTTCCATGCTGCTGCAGGCTGCCAGCCCGCACCAACCGAGTACTTCCATGTTGCTGCGGGCTGCCAGCACCGCACCAACCGAGTACTTCCATGTTGTTGCGGGCAGCCAGCCCGCACAAACCGAGTGCTTCCATGCTGCTGCGGGCAGCCAGCCCGCACCAACCGAGTGCTTCCGTGTTGCTGCGGGCTGCCAGCCCGCACCAACCGAGTGCTTCCATGCTGTTGCGGGCAGCCAACCCGCACCAACCGAGTACTTGCATGCTGCTGCGGGCTGCGAGCCCGCACCAACCGAGTGCTTCCATGTTGCTGCGGGCTGGCGTCAACCGAGTGCTTCCACGATGCTGCGGGCAACCAGTCCACACCAAGCGAGTGCTTCCATCCTGCTGCGGGCAGCCACCCCGCACCGCTAGGCAAACACACACCACACGACGACGATAACGAACATTAGTATCACGCTTGCCGTTGCAGGTTTCTAACTTCATCTGGCTTAGAGGGATTTTGAAAATTGCAATCAACTGAGCGCCAACAGATGAGGCAAACTTCGGAGGAGACAGCAGCGGCATGGAGGAGGAGCTCGTGCAGGCCACTTATCTAGGGATGTATGAACAAAAATTTAGAGGTAGGTAGAAATATACATACATGGTTACATGCATATATTTTTTAATGTAAATCGATCGAATTGTGTATATACGGGTACATCTGAATACATCCATGCGCGCTTGCATTGCATTGCATTGCGGACCTACCGGCTTGGCTAGCTACCTACCTAGCCAGCTAGCTGGCTACAGACACACAAAAGAGACAAACATATTCCATACGTACACCAAAGTAAAGGTGTTTGGGATTTCGGCGCTTACCGGTTTTGAGGTCTTTGAGATCATCGCAGGCTTCGCGAACGTTTGCATATTCGGGGCACCTGAGCAGGTTAGCCTTCGTTTTCGAAACTATTGTCACAGTCCCAGGGCCATAAGCAGTTTGTATGGTCGCAGGAAAGCAGGGAACTAAGTTAATTGAGTTTCTTTGGGCATTGGGCGACGGCAGGTTGAACAAAACAGAGGTTGTGTTACGCCTCCCTGTGAGCATGAAGTGTTGATTTGCCTCTGTTGCATGTGAGGCCACCGCGCTTGAGTTCAATCTTTCCTCTAGCAAGGCATTCACACAGCATTGAATCTAGACACTCCCGGCAGCGCAGGTGAAACAGATCGTCGGCAGCTTGCATGCCTTTGCAGCCATCCGCCCGGACCTTGGGAGCTCTGGCCATCACGTTTCCTCGAAAATAGCTGCATCCAAACGGAAAGAACGTGCACACTTCACACACTTCGGTCTCTTTCTGTCTGCACCTGCCCGCTTTATATCTGCCTATGAATCTCTGTGTGCGTACATTACAGGCTAACATAGGCAACAGCTAATCGTCACAATATGTCACAATGTTCATACTGTGAGTTCATCTTCGCAGGATTTTCGGGGACAGTGGGCACGCAAATGACAGTGTTGGGAATTTGCCGAAAGTGCCTGCAGTGAGCCCTACGTGCAGCGTGGTGCTTGTCAAAGTGACGCAAAGGTACCAAAACAACACATTATCGAACAAGTGAGGATTCGAGCCAAGGCCCGTCCAGCTGAGCCAGAACGGCTCGCGAGTAGCCTTTACAACCATGAAGACTGAGAGCAACTGCAGCAGCAAAAGCTAAAACAGCAGCAGTGTCGCTGTTCGGTGTAGTGAGGGCTTCAGAACAAAACTTTGACGCAAGAACGCCACTCTTGTCGAGCTTCGATAGGTTTGAAATTGAGAACTCGACAGCCGAAAATCCCATGATGCTGTGCAGGCTCTTCATTCCTTTTGACAGTCGCCTTTAGACACACAGCCCAGCCCCGACCCCGCCCCTCAAACGCCAAACAGAAGCACCTGTTAAAAACCATCTTTGTCCCTGGACTTCAGGGGAAGACGGAAGCGTCGTGGCCTGGGGCAACCCTACTATGGGGGGCGATTGCACGTCGGTGAAGGTGCCTGTGTTCAGCTTTACGGTTCAGGATTTGGGTCGTAGTTGTAGTCTCTACTTGTCTCCTGCCCCGTTTCGTTGTCTTGCGTACTTCTTCTTGAAGCTCTACTGTTCCCTGTGTCGCTACGCTTCTGCCAGGCGCCTCTGAGGGTTGGACACTTTCCTTGGCACTGTGCTGCAGTTACTGCAGGTACTACTTACTTGCTTGGCTTCCATCGCACTGTCACGACCACGCACGTACATGCTTGCCGAAGGTCGGTGATTTCAAGAAGTTTCCTCCTGCCCGGAGTTGAGACTTAGCCCTCCAAAACTCCAAAACCGAAGCCCTAGCGCCCAGATCTCGAGCTCACAAGTCGTTTCGGAGCTTGCAGTGGTGCTGGCGTATACCCGCATTCAAGGGTCACTGTGTGCCCCCACGATCCTTGCATCGTGATGCCAAATTAGCCCTGACCGACACAGACACAGGATCAGCTCAAGAACGTTAGCGAGATTGCGGCAAGTGACGCCGCACCTTGGCAGAGCCAAGGGCTTCCTCGGCGTTGAGGTGTCGGCCCAAAGCGGATTAGGGGTTTCGGGCTTATGGCAAGGCTCAGTAGATTTTTGCTGAATCACTCTGGAACATCTGCGGGCCCTAAACCATGTGCTCAGTTTGAGTCGGCCGGGGCCTTTTGAGGCCTTCGCAGCTCTCCGTTCAGATGGCTCTCTCGTCGCATGGGGAAGCGCCGCGCACGGGGGTGAGCTCAAGGCCGGGGGGAGTGGGTTTAGGGGAAAGAGGGGCTGGAGGGTTTGGGGTTTATCTTTGGGGGTCTGGGTTTCAGGGCTGTAGGGATTACATAGAACCACATGAGACATCAGGGGTTTAGGGAATGAGGTTTTCAGGTGCACTGGGGTTCAGGGATTGCAGGGTTTACGGTTTAGGTTTTAGTTTGCGTGGTGGCTGAAGACTTAGTCTATCTTTGGGACTCGGGGCTCGGTGACCTATCCGCAAGAAAGGGCACAACTCCGTGACTCATTAATCCCCTCGTCGTAGACTGTTGCTCCAAAACTACAAAGTGTTACGAACCTGGCTGTTCGCCTAAGTTTCAGATCCATAGGGTGTTCTAAGTTCTGACGCACCCACCGCATCCTCAGGACACGCCGAGCAATGCCCGTGAGGTGGGTCGGGGACCCTTGTTTGACTGGCGTACAACCTTAATTTGCTAGTTAGTTAGTTGCCCTCACTCAATTATCTTGATAGGTTCATCCATTAGAGATCATGTCTCGACCAATCAATAACTAGTTAGTTGATTGATAATTCCTTAGCTAGTTAGGTCATGCTTGCTTTCGAGTCCTATCTAATTGTTGTGTAGCACAGTACACCCTCCAGGTTTGGAGGTACGCAGTATTGTTTCATGCTTCTGGCACATGTGTGCATGTAATTTTCACCGCACTGGAACTATTTGGGATCCGAAGGGGCAACATCGCAGAGTATGTAGGGTCCTCAGCCCCAAACCCGACACTCCATTTCTTTTGGGAGGGCTCTCCAGGAGAACCACAACTTTAACCCCGAAGCCCGGGAGCCCCTAAGGCCCAAGGCCCTCGCCCGAAGCCGCAACCTTAAAGAAAGCCCCGGACCCTCGGTTTGGAAACTCTGGGACTGGAGAGGTGCTCGGCAGCAGCAAGGCCTTCGCTGCACTTCTTGCAGACGGAAAGGCGCTCAGCTCGCAAGACGCTTTTGGATTCCTTTGGGGTCGGATGTCGTAGCAGTCTTCACACAGAGCCAGCCACACAGGAAGTCTCCAGTGTGCCACGAGCAGTCCGACCGGTGTTGTTCTTCTTGCATCGCTGCTTGCGAGCCAAGCCCACGACAGTGGCCGCTGCTTTTTCGGCCCTTGGCCAGGTCTTTCCCTGGGGGGATGAAGATCGGGGAGGCAAAGCCCACGATGAGGAAAGCCAGGCACCGGGAGTGAGATAGCAGGGGCCGCGAAATCACCAGAAGTTTCGAAGCCCGGAGCTCCAAATTGTACTCGACTTCCTCTGCGCTTTGCCAGAAGCCCCAACAGCCTTTAGAGCCCTACACTCCGAAGCTCTTCAACCCGAGGAGGAGCTCAAGAAGGGCTCCGTCCGTCGGCTCTTCTCTTGCGGCAGAGGCTTCGCTGCCTTGATGGCGGACGGCACGGCCCCTGAGCCCCATCAGAGGATCCAGGAAAACTCCATTCAGAAGGATTCTGTAGAGAAGCTGAAGCCCGGAGGCGGTTGATTTCTACTGTGGGGGCTCGGGCTCTTACAGCTTCGGGACCACTAACATGGGCCATACCTTGTAGGGCTTGGGAGGTACAACTAAGATGCAGTAGATGCCACCACAACTACCGGTCAAACCAAAATCCTGAGAATCCCCATCGAGAGAACTCAATATTACAAAACAGGCAGCACATCACGTGCAGATTCGCGCAGCATTTTTGACCTTTGCCTCGAGTTGGAAGAAGCCGCCCGCAGTTCCATAGCTCGCGATGGCCTTCCTCTTCTTGCGTGCGCTGTTCGGTATCCTTGTGCTTGCCCAGACAGGAAGTGGCGAGTGACGCTTTGCTATTCTTTGGAAAGTTTTGGAATGTTTGTTTGCGCCTCGCTTATTGACTAGAAGGCAAGTTCCTGCCACACAAACAGAACCTTTTGTAGGATGAGGGTTTCGTGCAAAAAGAGCAGCAAGACCAGAATGTGTCTACACGGATAAGCCGGCAGAATCATCCGGCCTCAACAGTTTCCGCAGTTTGTTGCACATAATGTTATGCGAAAGCCAGACTAAGGGGCTTCCAACGCATCACAGCGGGCGAGCTTCCGCAACGAAACAGGATTTCTTGCGAAGAAGAACAACTCAAATGCATCAAGCAGCTCAAGCAAGTCCACTGGCGATTGCCACTTCCTTTGCTCGACATCGTACGGCATGTCCAGTTGGTGCGACAGAGGAATTTGCTGGTGTACTCGGGGCTTCTACGACTATTTCGGGTATTGCCAAGGAGGAACTGCTTCCTGCCGGGCAGTTTGTCTCAACTCCGCCTACACACACGACACTTGCGATGGCACAACATGCGTGTGCAGCTACGGATGGACAAATACAGGGACCACGTGCTTCTGATGAGCTCTGACCCGCAAGCACATCATTGTCTGGACTTCGTGCATGTGTGTTGTTTCTTAGTCAATTAACTTCACAGCTGTGTAGAAGTGGAGTAGAGATTCTATTCACAAGACCAAGAGTTGGTAGTTTGTCTTGGGTTGCCTTGGAAGAGCCGGACACTTCCGAAATAGTAAGGTTCTTTGGATGTCTTTCTCGCACATCCTTATAGTCTGGCGGCGATCTTGAGTCAGCCTTGCCTTATCAAATTTCTAGCATCAAGACCAAGCGGAGGCAGTGCGAGCCCATGAACGGTTGGAGTTTGCACCTTTGTTTCTTTGTTAGCTGCATTTGTTGCCAATGAACCAGACTTTCGGAACTAGTAACGAGTATCACTGCTCAGCTGAATCCCTTGCTTCGCCTGGAGGCGGCACTCTGCCGGCTTAATGTTTTCAAAGCGCCTCCAGCTGAAGCAAGAAAAGGATGGTCGAATGCGCCAGCAAAGGTGATTCCTTTCTTGATGCTTTTTATGCAGGGGCTATATATCGGCACTAGTGGTTGAATGCTTTGAAGCGAAGCATCAAAGGAGGAAGGCTTAATGCCATGTTTCAATTGGCTTAATGCCATGTTTCAAAGGTGTAAAGACCAATTAGGTGTTGCTGTTGGCCATAGTTATGGCCACAAGCTACACATCCGCATTGGGGCATCAGCCACTCCACGCCTCGGGCGCTTACAGCTTCGGGAAGAAAAGACTTTACCCAATCTCAAGCGTAGGTGCGTGCCATGTTAAGATTAGATGTGCGTGCAAATGATCCTACGGCTGAAGGCTCATGAAACATTGCCTGACTGCAGTTGTTTAACCATACTCTACACTTCGAAGACGACAGCTATGCCATGCCACAGGGCGTGTCCAGTCACACAAAGCACAGCCACAAACCACAAAAGGTCAAGGTGCACTAGCGCATTCCGTGCACATTATTTTGTGCTGAATGGTTTTAGGCTTCTTATGTGACGCCGCCAGCTAATCAGTCACATGATGAGGGTCGTTGCTTATAGACTGCAGAGTGTTCATCCCGAAGTCGAATTGCCACCCTTTCCAGTGCATGTTAGCACCGACTGTGGGCCTGCGGGCTGAAAGGGTAGGGAAGCTTCGTCCGTATGCCAGAAACTCAAGACACCACAAAATCAGGAAGCAGTCCTTTGGCCAGGAACTTGTTGTATAGGGCCGCGTTGGTGCAGAGTACAAGTAAGTGTGTGTGTGTGTGTCTAGTCAGTAGTTCCCATTGAAAAGCAGCCTACCAGCTGACCGGGGCCGATGATTGTGGGAGCCCATCTTCCTGCCAGGGTATCAAAGGAAAGCCGAAGTCTAGACCTGCACCGCAAACCTGAACAACCTAGCGAGTTGGAAGCCGCCCCCAAGGTGACAGGCTGGGGCCAGCACCTGGCTGCACAGGGTCAGACCAAAGATTTACTGCAGGCCACTCCGAATTTGAAGCTTGCGCCGGGTAGGTGGCAGAGTATTCGAATTAGGAACTCGATGCCGCTGGCCGCTGCAGCTGCGTGGTGCTGCTACCGTTACTTTGGTGGGGAAGTGGTGTGTTTTGCTGTGGAAGAACAGGGTGTTGGTGCTGGAGGCGATACCGGGGGGTTGGGTTCTCGGGCTGGTGAATCTTGCAGCACTATGAATAGCCTGAGAGAGATATGTAGGGAGAGAAAGAGAGAGAGTGAGTGAGTGTCTCCGAGCAGTCTCATGGCATGTTGTTGTCAATAGGCAACAAATTACTTTTGCAAGCGGCTTGAGATCTCCGACGCAGGGCGTCTGCTATGTGGCGGGCTCCTTCGCGGCGTTCGCAGCACTGAAGTCAGATGGAAGCGTTGTGAGCTGGGGAGATCGCCACTCGGCGGACTCAAAGACCACGACTCCTGGTCTTGAAAAGTTGGTTGAATTAGGGAACCTTTTGCCCTGCCTTCACCAGGCTCTAGAAACGAAGCTCATCGAAGCTCGACTCTTCTGCTGGCCCTGCCACGATTCGCTTGTGTTCATGAGCTTCAGCGCCGGCTACGTCGCATGCCCCCTTATGTGAGGAAATCATGGAGCCGGCGGCAGCAGTGCCAGCATCAAGGACCAGTCAGGGCCGCCTCCACTGTGGCGTGATCTGGTACTGACATGATCTGCTACAATGTGACAATATGTCAGGGTATGATGTGGGCGTGGTGTGGTGTGACTTGATTTCGTACAGTATGTTGTGACCTGATTTGGCATGACATAATGTGGCATGGCACGGTATGATATGGTATGACCTGAGACGGTACGCATGATGCGATTTGACATATGGTGTTATATGAATATGAGATGTGGTGATATGCCATGATATGGCATGATACGAGATGATCTTACATGCTATGACCTGATAAGATATGGTGTGAGAGGGTGTCGCACGCTATGTGTTGTTATGCTACGATCTGTCATGCATATGAGATGATATGACATGATGTGCGGATTCCGCCACGAGGAAAGCTCGAACTCCATTCTGTCTCGTGAGGATCTTGCGAACATCCAGGTGATCGAGGGCAGCAGCGAGGGCTTCGCAGCCGTTCGCGAAGACGGCAAGGCTTTGTTGGGTTGAAGGCTTCGAATGAGTCGTGTGTGATGGAATCAGTCGCCGCGTCCTGTTAGAGCGGATCTTTGGATCGGATGTAACGGTCTGACTCTGTCCATGACCATCGCTCGAGATGCTAATGCGGTAGTGGCCCGATCGGAGCTCCGTCCAGGGATTCTAAATGCGTGGGGACAAAGCAGGAGGGAACAAGGCCCAGACACAAACGCATCGGAACTCCCAAAGGCCATCTCGCAGTGCTCAAACCCTATTCTAACTATCACGGCCCTTGTATCTAGGCCTAGACCGGATAACACTCTAACAGTGCACTGATTTGCAGGTAGTTTTCTGGGATCGCATCGGCCAAGTCGACTGTAAGGTCACAGCGTAGGACGGGCGGGGGGAGGGGGGGGGTACCAAAAGCTAGGGATGTCTTTCGAGATTATCAAACCCAGGATCCCATTATGTGGGGTTCCGGTTGAATTGATCCAGGGCTTCGGCTGCCAAGGCAATAGTGCCACGGTCTGGTTTGTAGCCGCCTGGACGAAATCTTCGAGTCGGCACGCACCTTCATGAGCAGGGCCATTGAGGCAGTGACTGCTGAGTTGCAGCGAGACCCAACGTCCCCAGAGACGTCGTTCAACGAGTGTGAGGCTGTTTTTCTGAAGCTCTGCTGCTCTGCAGGACCTCTTGTTTTCTGGCGGGGCCCGCATGAGGCAAGGCTCTTGCCTGATGGACACCCAGGTGGACCTTTAAATTGTACAAGAATGACAAGGTAGGGAGGGGAAGGTGGAAGTACCAGCGAGCAGGACCTCCGCAGCAGCTGTTGCTTGGCTGATGGGCAGCAAAGCTCTGCCCCGCTGCAAAGACGGCACAGCCACCATCCAGCGCTTTCCGAATCGGACTGTGGCGCTAAAAGTCTCGTCACATCCTTTGAGCAAGTAGTCCCCAGCGCCCTGCATGATTGGTAAGAGTGGTAAGAGTATTTCTGAATTAGGGTTCCCTACTATGATTCGCCCAGAGCCCTGGGCAATCGCCAATATTCAATAGCCAGCTGGATTGCGCCAGGGTCTGTTCGAGGTGACAGCAGGCTCTCAGAGCTTCGGTTTCAAAAGCCACTTGAGTCTTACATCCCAAGCCTTTAGAGCTCCATCTCCCCCCGAAAAGCCCGCTCGAAAAGACCCCAAACACCCTGCAAAAAGTTCCAGTGAGGCCCCGAAGTTCGAGGAAGTCATCACCTTCTGCCGCCGCGGCCCTGGCGTAGCAGAGACTTCCGGGGCGGGGTTGGATCGAAGAGCCTCTCGCCGTGAACCTCAGGCCTATCTGGGCCCTCAGATATCGAAGATCCTATATAAGCCCTGAACTCTCAACTCAAAGCCAGCCTAAAGGCCATATCCCAGAAAGTGATCATTCGAGTTTTCGAGTCGAGCTTCCTTAATGCACAAGATTCCCAGCATCTTGTCGTGTCGAAGTATTTCGAGTGAGGGAGGTTTAGGACTTAGGAGGTGGAGCTTTCTGGGTCTTCTAGTCTACCCAGATATGAGTTGAACGGAGAGTTGAGGGAGCAATGACGTTCCGCCTGTACTCTATGTCATAGTCAGGCATCGGGTTCATTGACGGTTCTCAACAAAGACCATAGGCCGACAACGCTCCTCAACACCAACACCGAAATGAAAACCTACACCCCACAACAACAGCAACAGCAACAACAACAACAACAGAACACCCGACTCCGCAAAAGAACTCCGGGGGTCCTTAAGGTCAGTACGACGTTGGCCTGGTCGTGGTCGGCCCGGAGCCATTCAACTGCAAAAAGGCTCAGGGTTTAGGGTTTGGTGTGTATGGTTTTGGGTTTGGGGTGTAGCATGTAGGGTTTGGGTGCAGCAAAGGCCACTTTCAGGGCTTCGGGCTCTACGGGGTTAAGGGTTCAGGCGTCACTATTGTCGGTTCAAGCTTTTCGCCTGGCGACAGCCTACACCCAAACCACGAAGCAGCTCCGCTGACTAAAACCATGAGCCCTTGGTGAAACCTTCGCCGGCCCGATGCCAAAGAAGAGCGGCCCCAAATGGTAGGATGCTTGTGATTACTTGTGATATGAGGATCACGGTGAAGGCAGCTGGACTCAAGTTTGAGGGCTCAGAGGTTGAAGCAACAAGCTCCACGATGAGACACAATGGACATCGTCGATACATGTGCTCGAGCTGATCTTTGAATCTTCATGAAAGCGTGGGTAAAACATCGCATCTTCCTGAACCGAACACAAACGCAACCGAAGCCCGAAAAGCCGGCTAAAGGTCGGACCGAGCCTGAATAAGGTCCCTCCTGAACCCCTAAAGCCAGGCGGTCTCATCAAAGATAAAGCAACCCTCTAACACACAACCACACGCTTGGTGAAGCCCACATGACACCTTCAAGATTGGCTCCAGCCGAGGCAGATGCTCGCCGATGGCCTGGCGGACCAGCTACGCGCCGAGGCTGCTTCGAGTACTGCGAAGCTCCGAGTGAACCCTGGAGCCTGCATCCTGAACAACGAAAGCACAGATACAACTCGTGAGCAAGTATCACGGACTAACAGAGATGAATGGTATGAGAGGGTAAGTACTAGGCAATAGGAAGATAAGTATAGATCTCGAGATATCTTACTAACACCGTAGTAGCTGAAAGCTACATGCCGAACCCCGAATCGAGCAGCTCGGAACGGTTCGTTACATGGAAGGACCAGCAAAAATGAGAAGCGGTCGTGTTCGGTCTTTGCTTGAGCTCCCACGGAGTCCGTTGGCGGATGCCATCCTCAAGCTGTAAGTCTCTGGCTCTGTCTCGCCAGGACATCCCCGTCTTCGGGCCGAGCAAGGCGGCCGCACAGATCGAGGCGTCCAAAGCCTTTGCCAAGGCAGGGGGCATGTTGAGATGATGGTATCGAGGAGGAGTGTGGTAGCGGCGACTCTGATGGCGACGACGATCATGCGTGGAGATGGCATGATGCCGCTTATGAGGGAAAAACTGTTGCCCATGGCAGTGTTGGCCATGGCGCTTGCGATGGAGATGGCGATGATGGCGTGTTATTGGTGTTGGTGCCAGGGATGGCGATGGTGGCGGTGGTGGTGGCAGCTGGCGGCGGCAGCGGCAGCGGTGGTGGTTGTGCTAAGCGGAAGCGGCGGTGATGAGAGGACGATGATGATGGTGCTGGTGATGACAATGATGGTTACCACCTTGAGGTTGGCGCCGTGGTGGTGGTGCTGGTGGTGGAGGTAGCGGTGTCAGTGGGGCGAGAAAAGAAGAGTGTTCGGGGCTATGGGATTCGAGATCCTGGAATTCAAGCAAAACTTCGAGGACTTCATGAAGCGCCACAACATCCCAACGGCGGAGTACCAGACCTTCTCCGCCCGCTTGGGACCCGGTTCGTTCGGAGGGTCGGAGGGTTTGGCGTTTCCTAGTACTGTGCAGAGCATGTGAGTTCCGTAGGCATCTGATCCTCAAAGCTTCTGGGCACAAGTAGCAAAGGAGGGAGGGCTTCTAATTAGTGCAGGCTACGAAGCAGCACGAATCACGTGTCGCAGGGATTCAGTCCTAGGGGGCAGGGCCACGATCAAGCGAGTGAAGCTCCGCAAAGACACGCCGCATTTTTAGTCCAAAGCCCTGAGTCCCCAGCCACGTCTCCAAACCCGAAGGCCCTAAACCCAAATCCAGAAAATCAACTATCTCAGAAAATGGGGGCGTGGAAGCCGCGCTGAAGTACATCGACTCGGTTCCTTTCGATGTTGTCGTCAAGGCACGGGCACGTTGTGAAGAGTTTGTGTGGCATTTGGCAGAGCGCTCCGGCCTTCGTTTCTGCGGCTGAGTGCTACAGCTTCAGGAACGAAGTTTATCATCATCTTCGGTTTTGCATCACTACCATCAATATCAGATTCACCGACTGCCACCACCATTGCGACGACTTTACTGCGCATCTCCTCCTTCCTCCCCTCCTGTTCCTCCTCGTCCTCCTCAAACCGTAATCACTCCCACTCCTACTCTTGCTGCTGCTACTGCTGCTACTGCTACTACTACTACTACTACTACTACTACCACTACCACTACCACTACCACACTACTACTACCACTACCACTACCACTACCACTACCACTACCACTACCACTACCACTACCACTACCACTACCACTACCACTACCACTACCACTACCACTACCACTACCACTACCACTACCACTACCACTACCACTACCACTACCACTACCACTACCACTACCACTACCACTACCACTACCACTACCACTACCACTACCACTACCACTACCACTACTACTACTACTACTACTACCCTACTACCATACCTACTACTACTACTACTACTACTACTACTACTACTACTCTCCTACTCCTACTCCTACTCCTACTCCTACTCCTACTCCTACTCCTACTCCTACTCCTACTCCTACTCCTACTCCTACTCCTACTCCTACTCCTACTCCTACTCCTACTCCTACTCCTACTCCTACTCCTACTCTCCTACTCCGACTGCGACTGCGACTGCGACTTCGACTGCGACTATGACTACGACGACAGCTGCTACTACACAACAACGACTACTGGGACTACTAGGGCGGAGCCACTACGACTACGACGTCGACCACCACCACCGCCATCACCACCACCACCACCACCACCACCACCACCACCACCACCACCACCACCACCACCACCACCACCACCACCACCACCACCACCACCACCACCACAACGCCACCCCTCCTACGGCACCAACCACGATCGACAACGGCACAATAAAGATGAGGCAGATATCAGTTGACAGCAATACCAAACAGACTGCTCACCCTCAGGCCAGCGGCCTCGCAGCTGGCAAGGGTGTGGCCTCGCCCCGAGGGGCGACTGTGGGGCTGGACTGGACTTGGTGAAACTTTCCATCACGGTTTGCTGCGTTTTCGGCGTGTGGTGCGTGCTCTTTGATCGTGCCGTCAAGGTTTCTCAAGGTGATGATGATGATGATGATGTTTTTGATGAGGTTGTCCCGGAGACTGCCGAAGAGGCCAAGGCTGCCGTGCGCGAGTGCACGCCTGAGGTCGGGTTGTGTTAGGGTTCCCACTTCTGGCGACTTTTTTGAACCAGCCCGGTCTCTCTCTTCAGGGGCCTTTCATGGTAAGGATCTCATTGTTCAAGGCTCTACATCATCTAACATGAGGTCCCATATATGGTCACGCGCTCCGCGGCCCCCCCCCCCCCAAAGGTCAATGGTCCGGATATAGGGTGGGACCCCCCCTCCCCTGTGGTGTGGGGTGTGGGGTCCCTCTTCCCCCTGTGGGGTGGTTGTGGGGTTTTTGGGGTTGAGGGTTTAGCTTAAGCTTTTGAGTGTTGGGTTTACGGTTACAAGGTATAGCGCTTCGAGTCGACAAGGGTTTAGGGAGGACTTGCGGTGTATGTTCTGCTTTCGGCTTAGAGCCTGCAGTTAGGTGGGGTTTAGGGTTGGGTGTAGGGTTTGAAGTACAAGTTAAGGATACTCAAAACAGGGGCACGCGCTGCGTTATAGGGTTTACGGCTTGCTTGCGAAGGGCTTGCGTGCGAGCCTTGGCCGCCAGCACCATCCCACCATCCAGTGGCAGCTCCAACAGCCCCGACCCCTTTCCGCACACGCCAGCCCCCCCCCCCCACCCCTAGCAGACCATACCATTGGGGGGGGGGGGACTGGGAACGCCAGACACCTGACCATATATTCTGAGGCTTCTCCAACCCCAGTCGGAAGCTTCAGAACTTCTCAGCCCCAGCCCCGAGCGTGAAGGGTAAAGCCTTGTAAAGCTTAACACCCCAGGAGACCTCAGGCCCATCCTCGGAACCGAGGCCACAGCTGGGGAGATCTAGGATTGAAGCCATAGATCCCATATCTCCTCTCCTTTTCTGTTTGCAGTTTGTCTTTGGTATGTGTGACCGCTGGTATTGACTATGATGATGGTGATGGTGATGGTGATGGTGATGCTGATGTTGATGAGAATGATGATGACCGTGGTCCTGACGATGACGACGATGACGATGTTGATCACGCTGCCGATCGCGATGACGATGACGACGATGGAGATCAGGATAATTCGGCGCATGGGCGTTACTATGGTGGTTGGGCCAGGTCGTGCTCTTGTTTGATGATCTTCAGTGAACCCCATAAAGTTGGAAACCTGGTTAGGGCCAAATAGCGCTGGGATTCCCTATACTTTACTCTTCAGGATTGAGGCTATTGGGTTCCAGCTTTTGGGCTTCTACTGTAGTGTATGTAGCCTGAAAGGTCTTTGGCTTTAGAGGTGTCGGGTTCTCGTGTTTAGGTCCTGACACACTCAGAGAACTTTACCCTCCCACTCCCCACTACATCCATCCAGGTTCACGATGGCCCCCAAATTAGAAGGAGGGTTGCGGCTGTAATTTGTAGATGCAAAGGTCTTTTAGAGTTCGGGGTACCAAACTTGGACGTCTTGTTTATTTGAAAGATCCCGCTGTTTAGAGTGTGTATTTGGGTGCCCATGTTCTGAGCCTGCCGTGCAGGGCAGGTATTTTCAGCCGGAGAGTGCTCCCATGTAGCAAGCCTTTGAGAGCTTTCTGTTGCGTGGGCGCTTGACACGCTACCCTGTGCTATCAAAGCGCAGAACCCAAACCCTGCGTCCACAACCCCTAACCTACCCGAAGAACCCAAAGCTGAAACACTAAAACTATAGCGAACATCCCCAAGCCCTAACCCAGAAACCCCAAACCCTCTACAGTGGCTAAGGTGCCTGGAAGCAAAGAAGTTTGGCGATGCAGGCAAGGAAGACCGAAGTTCCAGCATACTCGTCCGGTGGAGAGTTAACAAAGTGTTTGTTGCATGCTCGGGCTTCTGGGCAGCACGGGGTTTTAGGATTCTAGAGTTTAGTTGAGGGCTTTCGAGCTTCATTGTGTTGAGTTTAGGGTTCCAGGGTTTACGGCGTCTACTGCAGCAGTCGATCTCCGCACGGGTTTCTGGGGTTTCCTTTCCGCAACATGCCAGAACTGGGGATTTTGGGTGTGTTCCAATCCAACATTGACAGCTCCAGGAAGTTTCCCTGCATCGGATGCGACATGGCAGAGCCAATGGTTTCACGTTTGGGTTCAGGGTGACCAATATTATGGTATTATTCCCTGGGGTTGCTGAGGAAACCTATGTTATGACATACAGTACCCCCAAAACCCTATTCAAATTACGAAGGCCTCTATATTTTTCCAAGAATGTCCGCAAGACTTGACCGGTCAGGTGCCGAGGTTGTCCTGGAAGAGCGGATGTTTGGGTCGGAGCCTTTGCCACTATTCCTTTGGACCATGGCGCCCAACAAGGTTCCCCCCCCTCACAATTCCCAAGCCTAAAGCCGTGACACCCTCAGGCACATTGACGAAGCCCGATGCCACCCGCAAGAAGCATTTCGTCTTAATTCTTAATGCTTTAGACTCTGTGACATCTCTCACAGTTAGGCCGACAAACAGCAAGCTTAACAGGGCGGCTGTGCCGAGTACGTGGTAACCATGCCGCTTATGTTGTCATCTTTGGAAAGTCGCTAGCATTTTGTTGAGGGGGCTGCAGGAACTGTTGGATCGCGGATGGTGCTGGCAGGTAGCCAGACGCCTGAACGTTATGGGTACATTGCAGGGCCCGTGAAGTCAGGATCCTACGTTTTACGGTTTAAGCATGTTGTGTATTTCCCTAGACCCCAGACCCTAGACCCCAAACAAAAACACCGCCCTCACGACCCTCCTGCCCCCTCCCTTATGCCGGTCCTATGGATGAGAGGCCCGAGTGTTCCATTTTGGCGCTTTGCGATGGCAAGCGGATTGCGGTGCTGCCGCCCGCGCAGGAGGGGGTTTTAGGGTCTTGCGTTTTGGAGCATCTGGTTTTTGTTAGGGGAGGTTAGGGTGTTTCTGATGCACGTCACTTCAAGCTGACGCAAACACGAAGAAAGCCTGTGGGTCCCGAAGCCGCCAGCACCTTGAAAACCGCCCCAAAGCCCGAAGCCTCAAGCAGTGCCTTGCAGCGTCCCGTCTGAGTTTGGCTGGTTCGTGCAGTCAGGTCCCTACGCTGGTCCTGGGTGCAAGATGGATTCAGGCTTTATGATTGCCTCGTGTGCCACTTGTCTGCCGCCGTTGCCAGGACCACAAGCGAATCTTCGATGGCGACCGCGGTCCCAACACAGGTGTGTTTTAAGGTTTGGGGTTTCGTGTGCGGGAGTGTCCATAAAGTCAAGACGGTAACCTTGCTCCCGGAACCTCGATCACGTCGGCACACACGCCAGGAAAATTCTGACTGGAATCAGCTTGCACTGACGGAGTGTTACACCATCATGGTCTCCTCAATTCCCTAGCCGCAACTGACCATCCACTTTCCCAACTCACCCCTTCAGTGGATAAATGCTTCATGTGGTCGAGTCAAGCGATGTCTTACATTTGCATTCCACTGGAGGTGGCATGGGTGCCTTCGCGCCGACTCCGGTGATGTTCTCGGTGGAGGGTCCATGACGCACGGGCATTGGAGAAGTTAAGCCGACCTAGCACTCCGGCGCTTGTCTTACCGAATTCCCGAGGAATTCGCCAAGTCCAGGTTTGAAACCAGGGTCCCTGCCAGAGCAGCGAGTCGCGCGCGCAAGACCACGGAGTTAAGTTGGGCCACAGACGGCCACAGTCGCAGGCTGGGAGCCTGAAAACCTTTCAAAGATGAAACTCACGCCAGACGAAACATCCAACAAGCCCAGCCTAGCCGCCCGGTGATCTCTTCCGCGCGAAGGTTGTCAAGCCCGAGATGATGGAGCAGATCAGGAGGGCAGGGCTTCTGTCTCTGAGAAGAAGTCCTAAACTGCGGACACTCTTCGATCAAGCCTCTCTCTTTCGACTCTAGAGCATGAAGACTAGGTCTAAGGCTGTAAGGAGTGTAAAGCTGAGCAGGGCAGCATCGTCGCCATCTGTTCTTCTTCATCCTCATCTTCTTCTTTTTAGCTGTCACAGTTTTCAGCATCACCTTTATCACAAGAGCCTTCATCGTTCCTTGGCGTTGGGTACCAGATCAGGCGCTGACACACTCAAGCTACAAGTATCGGTGGCCGCAGGAAAGAGATCCTCATGCCAACCATCGATGGCCTGCGAGCAGAAGGCACACGAATATCGAGAAAGAGGGTCCAGGACAATTGCAATACTGTTGACAACTATGGAATAGACTTCCGATTATGGCGATAGTTTTATACGAAAGAAGGTTGGTGGCGACAACGTGCAAGCGAACAACAGCAATGTCCACAGTATCTGTGATCAGCTTATTATAGGGTTTCATCAAGAGGCCGGGGCACTGGCGAGGTATTCGGTGAGGCCTTCTTTCTAGACCGTGACTCGAATGACAAATGATCGAACGGCATCAACCAAAAACCGTGCTGTTTGTGCTATGGCGCAAGGGCTGGGATCATGGAGGCAGACGTCTTAAAGCCTCTGAAGCCGTAAACGCCCCGAGACCCCGAAGCCGCTATGCCTCAAAAATCCCAGGCCGAAAGTAATTCCTTGTGGCAAGTCCGTGCTGTAGGCAAGCCCTTCATCGGATGCCTCTTTGCCGGCCTCATGATCACGGCGAACGGACCGAAGGCCCAGGGGAAGTGGCTGGCCCCGTGAAATCTTGGAGTAGCTTTGAACATTTAGAGTTCAAGGTAGAGGGCTTTGGGTATAGTGCTTCAGGGTTTGGGGCTGTATTGCTGCGCTTCTCGCGGCTGTACGCCCACTGTTACTACCACGTCGACTTCCTTGCTGTCAGACCCCTGTGGCTCTCGCCATCCCCCGAAGTTGGCAGCGCGCTGTCGCAGTTCGCTGAAAGGCCCACCTCCCCATACCCACTAACTGCCGCTGTAAGCTTGGGCCTTGAAGCCCTAACGCCACCAAATCCAAGGGCACTGGAAACCTAAAGCCCCGTAGTACAGAACGACATCCCTAAACTCAAACCCTAAACTGTAAACCCTAAACCCTCGACCCCAAACCCTCAAGCAAAGCAGATGGCAGGTCATTGAGTTCAACTGCCGCTTCGGTGACCCTGAGACTCAGGCCGCCCTGAGCCCAGCCGGTCTCTTCCCTGCCTTGTCAGGGTTCTTTGGAGTTGGAGGGGGTTTAGGGTTTAGGGTTTAGGGGTTTATGGGATTTAGGGGTTTAGGGTTTAGGGTTCTTTGGAGTTTAGGGGGCTTGGGGTTTGGGGATCAGGGTAGGGGGGAGTGCCAGATCAAGCTTGGCTTCTATTGAAATCATGACAGATGTAGAAAGAGCTCTGCTCTGTGAAGCCGCCAGACGTGGTACTGGTAGTGATAGTGATATGACCACAATGAAGTCAGCCTTTACTTGAAGCTTAGGTCCTGCCTCTGCTGGAGTGTGCCGCACGCTCAGAGGCCACATGACACATGCTTTTTGGATCTGGAGGCACTGCGGTCTGCTGCGAAGTTTAGATGCTGCCCTGTCTCTACAGCGCTTTGGAAACCGAGGACCTCTACCACGTTCTCAACTCTTGTGCGCAGGGGGAGCTGGTAAACCCAGACACCGCCATCGGCGTGTCGGAGGTGCCCGCAACAGGTTGACTTACATGATACTAACCCCACGATGCTAAATTACAGAGGCGTTCATGACACTTCATGACCAGACCCAATCTCAGAAGCACAGAGCTTTGTCTGTCAGAACACCTGCGCTGTCTCCGTCACCATGGCCAGCGGTGCGCCCACTCGGAGATGACCGTTTTCTACGGGGATTCTCCTCTCCTCTCCTCAGCCTAACTTAAACTTCAGAGTTAGACAGGTAGGGCTGGTGGTCGAAGCGGTAGGCTCTGTCATATGTAATTTGTATGTAAACATAACATATACACAAGGTATATGTATATGCACAAAAGTACATATTCTATGTATGTATACATGTTTATCATGCACACATGCCTACATCCATACATACATATACACAAAATCATGCATGCATATGTACACTCTGTACGCACACTCTAACAGTAAACACCAAGACCAACACCAACAAATCCTCCATTGGTAGAAACCTCAAACCACAGGCGTCAAACCCCACCCCAGAACTCCTAAACCCAGAGCTCCAAGCCCCAAACCCTTAAACCTGAAGACCAAACCCAGAGCCCGCCCGTAACCCCGAGCATCGAAACGCTCTAACCGGAAGTCCCCAAACCAAGCTCTAAACGTCCCGAAACCTGAAGGAAGCTACCCGTCTTAAACAGGTGGATACCCTGAGAACTTCGAGAAGGGCTACAGGGCCAGGGCCCCCGGAGTTCAGAGCGAAGGAAGGGATCCAATCTACAGAAAAGCAAAGGAGTCAGGGCTTGGGAGTTTGGGCTTTAGGGCTTGTGGGGGTCGGGGGTTGGGGTCTCTACGGGTTTGGGGTTTAGGCATATCTGGATCCGGGAACTGGGTTTGGAGCTTGCGGTACTTCGCTACCGGCATCTCCAATGGCATGTTCGACCAGATCATGGTGTCATCACGCTCTTGAAATACCATCGTAAATATCATCCTCGGCTCTTAGTTTGCTTTATTTCTGCAGTCCATTGTCCTCGGGATCATAACCTTCTGCATTCATGCCTCTCCTGGCAGCCATGGGCAGCGCCATCATCGCTGCCTTTACAATGACTGCTGCTCGTAGTGTTTGAATCAGCATTCCTTTCTAGTTTTACCAGTCATTCATCAGGTGGGAGTTTGGACCCTGAAATAGAACATACCGATCCGTTACAATAAGAGAGCCCCTAGCATAATCCTAAAACCGCCTCAAATCCTATTCAGATCCTTATGAAACTTCAGAAAGACATAGGAAGACCTCGATAAAACTTAAAAAACCTTTGTAGAACCCTACAAGAACCTGTAAACGCCCTAATTTCCACCAGCCTTTGCAGTAGCCCTGATGATATTCAAAGTCAGAAACCCGAACTGCAGATCTCCGGCCTCGAGCGTGCCTGCATCGTCCCTGGCGTCACCATCTTCCACGCGGGGACCAAGCCGGCAGGGGGCCTACGGAGTGCCATGTGGCTTAAACGAGAAACAAGAAGTATGCTACTGATGGGCATCTTGATGACCGTGATGCGCTGATGATCAAGGTGATGCTTGATGCTGCTGTTGATGATATTGCTGCGGATGATGATGATTTACCAAGCTTCAGCACTTGCGAAAGGTGGACAACACCAGCTTGCGGCTGGCCGCGAACGGTGGGTCCGGCGCATGGAGCTCAGATGCCCAAGGAACCGGAAGCCTCTCTGCTTGCTTCCGAGTCTCAAGCTTTTCCACCTGGGAGATCGAAAGGGGTTCGAAATCTTACAGGAGGGTTGACGGAGACAACTTAGGAAAGTACAGGGGTCGATGAACATGCAGGCCCTGCAGCGCATGCTCCACCATCGGATGATGACGCGAGGCAGGATTGGTATTTGGTAGTTCAGGGTTGCTGATCACTGTAAGGAGACAGGGGCCCGAAAGCATATCGTGGTTCGTTCTTTCATCTCATCCGCAGGTCTACGGCATTAGTGGCAGCAGCGTCGCCAGCATGATGTCATGTTATTCAGCTGCTAGATGGCTTCTTCAATCAAGTGCAAAGATTCGAAATTGCGAGGAACCCAATGTACCCAACTTCTATCGTGCATGAATGCCACAGTTTCTTTCGAACCAAGGGCAGAGGCGATGCAGCTTTAGTGCAAAGGCTTCGGTCAATAAACTTCATAGTTTGACGTTCAAGCTGAGTTTATAAGCTTTGCGCAGGAGACAAACATTAACAAAAACCCTGCCCAATCGTAGTTCCTCAAGCTCTACACCTCCAAATGCTTTCACCATCAAGGCGTCACGAAGCCAACCTCATGCCTGACCTCCGGCGGTCGTGTCCTCGCCAGAAGCTAAGACGTCAATCGCTTGCGTGCTTGTCCGAGTCCACGGGTTTCAGCTTTGCTTCTTGGCCTTGGAACAGCTGCTGGACGTAAGTCCGTGGTTCGGGCTTGCGGCTTGGGCGCCTTAGGAAGAAGTTATAGCTCTTGTAACGAATCGTCCGACTGTGCGTTGTGACCAGCTTTTGTGGTATACGGTGTATAGTAAGGATAGGTGTATGTGCACGTCTTTCGACATGTAGGATTGCACATCTATGTCAAGATAGAGGAGAAACTGGCTCTCCAACCAGTGCACAATCTGCTACGCAGAGCATTCCGACGTGGCAGCTCAGAAAATCAGCAACCCTAAGATAAAGCCTCTAACTACAAGCAACCTGGACGTCTGCCGAGGCTGTCACTGCTGTGGCCAACGGAGGCATCGCCGAAGCACGCGAGCGAGCATATGCCAGGGCCTTCTTTCGGCTCTGCTGGGAGCCAGGGACTCTTAGAGCTCTTTTGCTTTCACGTCCTACAGATTGTCCCTAAACTCCCCCATACTCCGAGACGTGGGCCGAAGACGCCGAGCCCTGCAGCCCCAACCCCCAGTCCAACAGCCTCCAAACCCGGCACCCAAAATCATCTGAGTCTGAAGGGAGGCAGTGAGACGCAGGCGGGCTTCCGGGTTCCATGATTGAGTTCACAGTCACGAGACGAAATCATGGTCGTAGTGGTGGTGGCACTGACACGGGCAGTGGTTGGGGTTAGTGGTCGTGGAAGTCGTCGTCGTAGTAACTAGTGGTGGTGGTGGTGGTGGTGGTGGTGGTGGTAGTGGTCGTCGTCTCGCTCAGGACCACTCAGATGCACGTGCGGATATGACATGCGAGCATCTGAATCGCAGAAGTGGGGCGCAACAAAGTCCCGCATTAGGGAGTGCACATGAGCCCTATCTCCCTGACCTCCAAAGCTGAGTGAAGCATTGCTCCTGTCACGTTCAGAAAGCCCAGAAAGTTCCAGGTTGCAGTGCGCTCCATCCGCTTCGAGAAATGCCACTACCGCAAGGACACGCAGAGATCCTGTTCGGATCGCGGGGGGGAAGCGTACCATTGGTTCTTCCCAGATGACCTGAATATAGAATTCAAACCGTAACATCCTGATCGGAAGGACCCTGAAAAGGGCGAGCTGTGCTGCCATTCCATCTTCTAGGCGTCTTGGTTCCGCCTAGAGGAAACCGGGAATTCGGCCATGGACGATTGCAGGACATTGGCTCATCCGCCATCGAGATCCCGCGCCCGCGCACCCGAAGCGGCATCGGGCCGAGCAAGAAGGTTGTGCTTCCTGTGATGCGAGAGCTCCGGCGTTGCACGTGCGTATGCCTTGAAGCTTCCAGATTTACTTAAGCTGAAGGCCTTACTGCAGCCTAAACCAGCGTCTGCCCTCTTTGCGAGGTGCGGAGATCTCGTCCATGGCATCTTTGCACCATCACTCGGAGCACAAGGCCGAAAGAACGTTCTGAAGACTCTTCGGTCTGCTCTTATCGCACTTGTAGAAGCAAGCACTCGGGGTGAATCTATCGGGATCTATCGCAGCGCAAACTGAGTGTCCGTAGGGCACCGGCCATCTGTGATCTGCAGTCATTGTAGTAGTCTTAGCACATCCCCATGCTGTGATGTGCACGGATGCCAACTGTAGACTTTAGCAATGACTCCACTTCCTCTTGCATTTCGAAAGGGCAATCTCCCCAAGCTAGAAGAAGAACAATATCTCTTGCATCTCGTTCCTAGTGTCGGTCCCTCACACGTGTTACGTTTTCGTCTTCAACTCTGCAGGGGATGAATTCCGAGACCCTGGTAACCCCCTCAGGGTGAAGCTTCGAGACACACCTCCCTTCAGACCCCCTTTCCGAAGCCCCAAAACCCCCAACTCAACAAAGCCCCAAAAGCCCAAGCTCCTACAGCCTAAACCCTTAACTCCAAATCCCGAAAACCCTGAATCCGTGAAAACCTTACAAAACTCCACAGAAGCCCCAAAACCCAGAACCATCGACCCTAGCCTTAAACCTCCAAAGCCCTAAACCCTGCAAACCCTACACCCCAAAGCCCTAAACCCCAACACCTAAACGGACCTATACCCCAAGCCCAACCCGAAACCCTAAACCACCCTAAAATCCCAAAAGCGCCCGATCCCAGACCGGTCAACCGCACCGCAAAAGCTCGGCCGAAGACCTCGGAATCCAGGATCTTCAAAAAGGGGTTAAAAACGACATCTATGAGGGTTTCATTATGTTTTATTTGGGTTCGAGGGCTTTTGGATGTGTTTTTCTTGGGTTTCTGACGGTGTTCTCTGATAGCTCTGTCCCAGGTTCTAAATAGGTTCTATCTAGGCTTGGGATTGGGAATGGGGTTTGGTTTTGAAGGTTAGGCTTATGACGACTTGGTGTAGGGAGGGGCTTGAGCGTGGATGAACACATTTTGGATTCAAGATTTGGGAGCCAGAATTTGTGACGTCATGCCCTCATAGTCCGCATAAATTGCACACTCATGAAACACTAAGGGGAGAGCTTTGAGGTGTTTTCGGATGGCTATCTCACCCTATGGACTGAGCACGTCAGTTTGTTATTATGGAAACTTTAGATGGCTCCCGCAGACAGGGAGGGCATCCTGATAGCCATCTGAAACCCTTCGTATAACCCTTTGGGAATGTTCCAGTTTTCTTGGCGATACTCGTTGCTACTGT